GTTGCTTTGCTTGAGAGAGAAGCAATCTCTCTAGGGAGTTTACACATACTTAAAAACTAATTATATATCTATATATGATTATTACATACTATTACGATTTTGACCTATGTATGTTATCAACGATATGTAAACTCCTTACTAGTAAAAGAATAGATAATGCGAAATAGGTCATCTTTTCCTTTCCTTAAACCGCTACTGTTAACCTATTTTGTGCAATGAGTGTCATCCTGTTTACATCCTGACTTTAGAAGTAATATCATTAACTGCTAACCTTAGCTTTTTCAGTCGGCTCTATAGCCCTTTTTCCTTGGCTTGGAATATAATGCAAAATTTGTTGTGAGCTAACATAGTTCCAGATTGTAAATATATCGATCTAAATTTTTAATAATTAACCAATTATGTCATATATTTAATTTTCAAAGTTGTATTTGTAAGCTTATTGTTACTAAACAGAGTAGTGCTAGTAAATATAGAAAAAAAAATAGACTTTTGCTACTAAAAGTAATATAAATAAGTATATTCATATATTATAACAAAAAGTCATTATAATTTTCTCATGCTTTTTTTGCCACCATTAGAAACATATATTAGGAATTCGTTCTTTATGACCCTAAGTTGCTATCATATTAGAAAATAGCTCTTCATAAACTTCTAAATGTTTAAACACAACATATATTATAGAAATTAAATCTTTATAGCTTTCAATGCCATTTCAATACAATGGAACTTTTTCCGAACGTCCAAATTTTTTAGAATCACATAATGCTATTGCTAGTAGCCCACATTTTCAACAAAACTGAATAGAATTTTTCATGATTTTAAACTTTTCACGAAATCACCATAGAATTGTTCAAAACTCTATTTTTGAAGCCTTAAGTGACTCTACAACGTTATTTTCTGAGATCCATAATCATTTTCCTAGTTTATTCAAAAAAGGTGCACTTTTTAATTTAACAAATTTCTAAGAGAATATCATAATGTCCATAATAACTTATATCCATAACATACAAAAATTTACATATTAAAAAAGTGTAAATGGATATGAAGTTATTCCTAATTTTACACTACAAAAATTTAATTTTAAATTAAAAAAATCTCAAAATTTTGTTATTATTAAAAATCGAATCAACAGGAATGCAATATTACTTCAATTCGTACAATTTCCCGAACTGAACCACATAGAAAAACCAAAAACCAAAGTAGGTCTGAAATGCCACTTCCTCTTCTTTAAAATCTCTCCATCTCTACTAGGCCTCAATTCACTTTGAGGGAGGTGGGGGTGTGGGTATAAGATTTTTAAAGTGGAATTCAACCATATATATATATATATATATATATATATATTATATATTATATATATATATATAATATATATATATTTGGGGCTACCACCACCAGTAGTGTCTAACTTTTTCTCAAAATTACAAAAAGCTCAAGTTGTAGCTCACCATTCTGGGCAGGTGGCAACTTAAAAGGGAAAATTTTATAAGTTTGTTTTCATGCACACAACCCTTGTTGGAACCCTCATTCAAAACAAATATTCATGCGTTCTACATGTACATTAAGCACTTTCACAAACATATGCAATTATGAAAAAGTATATAATTTCATTACACAAAAACTTTTATCTGGGATCAATTGATTACAGTTGAGACCTAATTAGAACTGATACGAATTGGGTGATAATTGTGATTGCATTGATATCTCAATTAATTTGACAGTTAGACATTGGATATAAGTTATATTGCAACTGGGCAATAATTGGGTGGAAGGATGAAAATACTCAAATTAAAGATGTTGCATTTGTGAATTCATGTACATGAAGTATATGATTCTGATGATAGATAAAATTGAAATCATACTAATAATATATTATATTAATATAGTATAACAATTGACCATAACTCTATTGAATGATAATCTTCTTTATTGATTTTTCTTGTATAGCTTGATACAATACTTCTTTATCATATAATCTTATAATTTGATATAAACAACATACGAAGTTAATTCCGAAATGAACTTCTCTCTTTTAAAATTTCTCCATTTCTCTCTAGCTCAATTCACTTTGGGAGGCGGAGGTGGGGGGCTGTTGGGGTATAATTTTAAAGTGGAATTCAACCTTTATTAATTATTATATATATATATATTATATTATATATAATATTAATAATATATATATATATATATATATATATGGAGCTACACCACCATAGTGTTCCTAACTTTTCTCAAAATTACAAAGAGCTCAATGTTGTAGCTCCACCATCCTTGGCAGCGTGGCACTTAAAAGGGAAAATTTATAAGTTTGGTTTTCATGCACACAAACCCTTGTGGAACCCTCTTCAGAACAAATTTCATGCGTTTACATGTACATAGAGCACTCACAAACATATGCAATATGAAAAATATATAATTTCATTGCACAAAACTTATCTGGATCAATTGATTTACAGTTGGACCTAATTAGAACTGATACTGAATTGGGTGATAATTGTGATTGATTGATATTCAATTAATTGACAGTTAGACATGGATTAAGATTTATATTCAACTGGGCAATAATTGGGGTGGAAGGATGAAAATATCAAATTAAAGATATTTCATTTGTGAAATCATTTACATGATAGTATATTGATCTGATTGATAGATAAAATTGAAATCATACTAATAGTCATATTAATATAATATAGTATAACATATTGACATAACTCATTGAATGATAATCTTCTTTATTGATTTTTCTTGTAGCTTGATACAATACTCTTTATCATATATCTTATAATTTGATATAAAACAAACCGAAGTATTCCGAAATGAACTTCTCTCTCTTTAAAATTTATCCATTTCTCTCTAGGCCGCAATTCACTTGGGGAGGGGAGGTGGGGGGTGTTGGGTAGTAATTTTAAAGTGGAATTCAACCTTATATATATATATATATATATAAGTTTGGTTTTCATGCACACAAACCCTTGTGGAACCCTCTTCATAACAAATGTCATGCGTTTACATGTACATAGAGCACTCACAAACATATGCAATATGAAAAATATATAATTTCATTGCACAAAACTTATCAGGATCAATTGATTTACAGTTGGACCTAATTAGAACTGATATTGAATTGGGTGATAATTGTGATTGATTGATACTCAATTAATTAACAGTTAGACATTGATTAAGATTTATATTCAACTGGGCAATAATTGGGGTGGAAGGATGAAAATATCAAATTAAAGATATTTCATTTGTGAAATCATTTACATGATAATATATTGATCTGATTGATAGATAAAATTGAAATCATACTAATAGTCATATTGATATAATATAGCATAACATATTGACATAACTCATTGAATGATAATCTTCTTTACTAATTTTTCTTGTAGCTTGATACAATACTCTTTATCATATATCTTATAATTTGATAGATTTATTTATATAGTACTCTTTATCATGTCTATAGTTTGATAGATTTATTTTGACTTCAATGGTCATATTGATTTTATTATTGATTTTGATTTTTTTTATTTCTCATATTAATTTATGATTGATATTGATTAGAACTATAACATGCATATTAATTTTTTTGTCTTGCATTGAAAGCAGTAATATAGCTTTGGTTACATGCTGGACTTTTTAGTTCATTATGAATTTTAATGATTTTAGGTCAGAGAAGGGGTTAGGATCATGAGCAGTGAAACTGATAAAGATCGTCATGTTCTTCTTAAGATTTTGTTATACCTTTTATTTTATTCTTTTGTAGTCATGCATTTGTAATAGATTAGTAATTGTAGTGATCTCATTGATAGTGTAAATATCATTTTGGTGAATGAATAATAAAAAATATTTTGATGCATATGATTTCAGTTGTTTTCGCTAGTTAATATTTATATTAATGATTTATAGAAGCTTTGAAATATTCTTAAAATGATAAATAGACAATTCTTCCTAATTTGATTATGGTGTGACAAAATTAGTATTAGAGCAATACATCACCCAGAAGATGGAACTAAGTGTCATATAAGAAAAAGTGCTACTTCATGAGAGCCATCTTTTGAATCATGTATGGAACAATCTACGTGGCGGAAGTCACAACTTGAACTTGTATAGGCCATCTCTAGAATCCTATCTGCCTCATGGATGGTTCTAAGATAAAAATATCGATGATGATATCAGTTATTTAAGTGGAGGAGATTGTGAAATCCCTTAAATAAAAGAAACTAAACTCTTAAATATTGAGAAGCCTATTGGTGTAATGGTTGAAATTTTATTAAGAAACACTACAATCATGTGTGCTCATCCCAAAAAAAATCCTAGAATTTGTGAATTCTTGAAATGTTACACCATATGTCAAAATCATAATGCCCTTAGGCCAAGCAAGCAATATCTCAATAGTTAAGAGTTAGAGTTGTTACAATTGGTATCAGAGCAATAAACCAGTTGAAAGATTAGAACAAAGTGTCATACAAGACAAAGTGTTACGCCATGGGAGCCACTCTTGAATCATGTATGAGACAAAATGCTACATGACGGGAGTCACCATAAACTTGTAGGTGCCACATATAGAATCTTATCTGTCTGGTGGATGATTCTGAGATAAAGATACTGACGATGATGTCAGTTACGTAAGTGGGGCAGATTGTAAAATCCTTCAAGTAAAAGAAACTTAACTCTTAAATATCGAGTTGTTTTTTTATTTAATGGTTGGAATTTCATTAGGAAATTTCACAGTTAAGATGCTCATCCCGGAGAAATCCTGGGATGAGTACCCTCTAGGAAGTTACACCAACATGATAAAACTGTGAGGCCTTTAGGCCAATGCGCACAATATCTAAATCGTTAAGAGTTTAGGTTGTTACAGAAAAATCCACGAGCTTAGCGGCATGTACGTGGCTTGCGGCTTGGGTTGGTGTGGCGCAAATCTCTATTGCAACTGCCGAGGAGGCAATGAGGCTCTTGGCCTATACAAGGTTTGGAAAGGCTTTTTTTTTATTATTGACAAAAAATTTGGTGAGGTCACCCGCAACAAAAACATGAAAACATAATAACTTAGACGCCCAAACTTCATCATCGCTGGGACCTCTGCCGCCATCAGCAGATGCCGGCGGCCGGCAAAGACGGCGTCGCTGGAGCTCCTAGAAACTTTTGGGGAGACACGCCTGCGACGGAGGAAGAGTACTACGCTTCACAGGGCATCCATGGTACAAAATCTTATTTCAGTTCCCCTCACGGCGCATCCCTCTTCACACGATCTTGGATACCGCTTACGCCGCCGCGCGCCGTCGTATTTATGATCCACGGTTACGGAAACGACATCAGCTGGACCTTCCAATCCACCCCCATCTTCCTTGCCCGCTCCGGCTTCGCCTGCTTCGCCCTCGATCTCCCCGGCCAAGGCCACTCCTCCGGTCTCCGCGCCTTCGTCCCCGACCTCCGCGCCGTTGCTGATGACTGCATCACCTTCTTCCGCTCCACCCTCTGTTCCAACCCTTCCCTTCTCGCCCTCCCAAAATTCCTTTACGGGGAATCCATGGGCGGCGCTCTCTGCCTTTTAATTCATCTACGCCTCAATGATCTTCAAAATGACGACAATGATTGGTCTGGCGCAATCCTAGTGGCACCGATGTGTAAAATCGCGGACGAGATGCGGCCGCGGTGGCCGATCCCGGAGATACTAACCCTAGTGGCGCGGTTCCTGCCGGCGCTTCCAGTTGTCCCGACGGGGGATCTGGTGGAGAAGTCAGTGAAGGTTAAAGAGAAGCGAGCTGTGGCGATTGCGAATCCGATGAGATATCTTGGAAAGCCGAGGTTGGGGACAGTGTTGGAGCTGCTCCGGGCGACGGATGAGCTTTCACGGAGGCTGCCGGAGGTTAGCATACCGTTTCTGGTGCTTCATGGAAGCGGGGATGTAGTAACGGATCCGGCGGTGAGCAGAGAGCTGTACGCGACGGCAAGGAGTGATGACAAGAGTATTAAGATCTACGATGGATTGTGGCATTCGCTTCAGTTTGGGGAGACGGAGGAAAATGTGGAGATGTTCAGGAGGGATGTGCTTAATTGGCTTGATCGGAGATGTGGAAGGGGAGATGGAGGTGATGCTGCTACTGCTGCTTGTTCATCTACAACAGTTGATCAAAATATTTGGTAATTATCATATTCACTCTTGTGCTGCTCAAATTTAAACTATATGTAGATATTGTACATTTGATTCAGTATTATGTTTTAAATATTGCATGTTTGGTTTATAGTTTAAATGGCTAATGTTTAGATATTGTACAATTGAACTGCATCAAGGGGTTGTTTGGTCAGGATTTGATTTAAGTAGGATTTCGTAAATCCGCTAAATCTAGATTTTGGAAAGCCTGAGGGGCCTAAATCCTGAAAACTGTTTGGTAATGTTCATGATAAATCCTATTAAATATAGTATGATTGTTTGGCTATAGAATGGATTTAACGAGCAGACTCTTCCTCTCCGGCCAACGGATTTCGTAAATCCGGCAAAAAATAGGATTTTAGAAATCCGGTATTTAGCACGAAAAGGCTGAATTTTCTGTCTACGGCGGCTTTCATTTGCCATGAGATTTGGTTTTGCATTTTAGGTCGTTTGGCTGGATTTCGCTCAATTCCGGCCTAAATCCTGCTACCAAATAGGCCCTAGATGTCAAAAACTTTTTGGTTTATTAATGTTATCTAGCTAGTTTTGTTATTTAGATGATAGTAATACTAATCAAATGCCAGGTCCCTTTAGTTTAATGTTATCTTATCGAATAATATAGAATTATTTAAAACCGCTAATTTTAACTATGAAAAGCTTTTGGGTCAGGATATCTTGATTAAATTTTGGTGGGAATTGATTTTGAAATTGTTGGATTTATTTTGATATCAGGATAATATGTGAGAAATAAATCAAAATTTATATTGAACTCATCTTAAAGCAAATCCAATAGATTTGAGTCCCTCTTAATAAAAAAATTGATCAAAATATCCTGAGCCTTTTTTTTTTCTTTTTGACTATGCTAAAATTAATATGGATGGTGTTGGATCTAAAATTGTTCATAGGTGACATTAGAAATTTACTAACAAAAATAGATCGAACTAGCGAGAGATAGAAGATACAAAAATGTAGTTTTGAGCGAAATTTTTTGAAATTTATTGTATTGCTAGAAAGTATAAGAGTGATATAAACTGTGTCAGGTTTATCCTAGTTGCTTGAGTTGAGGCGCAATGTCATAGAAAATGACATATATTTGAGTTCTATAAGTAAAATTACATGGCAAAGAGCTTAACATGTGTTTGGTATAAAAATATATAGAAAATTATAGTTGAGCTCTAATCAAATGATGATTTGCTTATTGACTTCCCTTAGGATTGCCAAATTCTGATGAATGTTTTGGTGACTTAGGCTTCATTTGGGATGGTTTTTTTACTGCTTCGTAAAGCAGTTTTCAAGTAAAAAAATTAAAATTTTTATACTAAAAAGCTATTTTAAGAAGCAGTAAGAAAGTCGTCCCAAATGAAGCCTTAATTTTAGGCTAAAGGGTAACTTTAAGTCTCGAGCAAATTAATTTGATGATTTGGGCTACTATTTTTGGCATTGTAAAATGATCTCGATGATGAGTAGTAAGGGAAATATTTCAAATAGCTTTGATAATCTTGAACTTATTGACAAAATCTTCATATACTATGGCGACTTCTTTGTGTCGAACTGATCTCTCTTGACTTGCAAACTTGATTTGAACTCGTTTCATTTTGATCTACGGAATTGGTGCTGATGGAGGTGCTGATGCTGCTGCCCCTCTGGAACTGCTTATTCAAAATGTTTGGTTTGATTCTTACAGCTGCTGAAATTGAAATTATATGTAGACGTTGAAATGACAATATGATTAAGTTAAATGATTGAGATCTGAATCTTATCTAGATGATAGTGTTATCTATAAATAGCCTATATTTGGTTCAGTATTATTTATCAAATCTTGTTTGCTTTTTTCAGAGCTCTTGTAATCAAATATTTAGGCTTTGCTTGGGACAACTTTCTTACTGCTTCTTATAATTTTTGAACTAGAAAACTTATTTAAGAAGCGTAAGAAAGCCGTCCCAAACGAAGCCTTAGATATATCATCTAATGTCAATCATCCAGATGTTAATGAAATATGCTGAAATGTTATTTATATTTTGTGTATTACATAAAAATGCCTATGAATCAAATGAATCAAGTAATCACTGACCAAATAGAGCACAATTGTTTAACAAAATTAATATATCAAATATCAATTTTATTCCAGTGTGGACTGTTGAAGCATGCTCTCTCGGCACAATTGATCATGAGCTCTTATGCAGATGGGAATTAAAGGTTATTGTTCTACAGATGTAATGAGCTCTTACTGATTGAAATGCTAAGAAGTTATATATTATATATTATTGTATGTCTAATTTTTGCACAGAACATTCAAATACAAAAAAGTTTACATTGTTATATTACTCTTGAGAAGTTGTAACTTATTTTTATCTTTATTTTTCTACTGAATTCTTTTTTTTAACTATGAGTTTGTTTGAGATAGCTTTCTTGTTATTTTATTTTTCAAATAGCAATTACAATTTCATGTGACTATTATTTTTTTGCGATTTTTTCATTGTTATTTATTTATGTAGTGATGTAATCAGAATGATAAATTATTTTCTTTGCAATAACTTCAGAACCAATTTTATCAAATTCTGACGGATCCTAAGTTTCTTTTCTTTGAATCTTGAATTCTCTGTAAGAAGATTCCTGCAATATGATCAAGCGGCTGAACGCTAAAAGAGAATTTGAAGTAAAAGTGTAAAGAACTTACAAGTGATTAGTTTTAGTCACCTAAATAAATGTTGGTCATGTAGGAAGATTTCCTAACTAGGCTATCACCTAAAGACATGTTGGGAGCATCATACTCTCAGTTTTTAGAAAAATTATTATGTGTGGTCACCGAACGACATTCAGAGGTGAATGAGAACGCACAACATCATTTTTTTGCTGTGATGTTTGCTGTATATAGCTCGGTACTGAATGATGTGACGTGTTCTAATTCGATTCTGAACCCTTCGATGACCGCAAAGAATAACTTCTCCAGATTTTGTTCTTCATTATTGTAAATTATGCTATATTATATATATATAAATCTTCCCATTCTTGTAGGCACTTAAGAGTCAGTTGACCATGATCGATGTCAACGTATGATGAAGTGGCTGAAGAAGTTGAAAGCTTTCAAATCATTATTGTTCTTATCTTTACGACTATTGGCGAAGGAAAAGATGGCTAAGTTTATGGTAATTTTACTCCATTCTAAGGTTAGCTTACCTCAATTTGGTCAAATTGCTCAACATGGCCTATGGTATTCTAATAGGTTAACTTGAGTCAAAGTGAATGAATTGGTTACATCAAGAGCCAATTAGGGCCAAGTCTTTCATAGTTGCAACTTGACATATTAAATTTGGTTTGAGGCCTTATTTTAAATGAGTTTGATTTATTTGAAGGATTATATCTTATACGGATCAATAAGTTTATTTGGGCTTAATAAGGTCAAATAACCCAATCAAGCTATATATTAATGTTCTATTAGGCTCAAGTAGGTTATTTCTAATGGGATTGTTGGTTAAGGTCAATTTCTTCATTCATTAGGTTTGGGTCCTATTAGGCTCATTGGGTTTTATTAGGCTAAATTATGGTTAATGGGATTTTAACTTGGTCCAAGGGTAACTAGGGTTAAGTCATTTATGGTTTGATGGTAGGAACCCTATAAAAGAGGCCTAACTAATTCATTAAATCCATTGTTTCAAGATCACTAATTGAATCCATAAGTCCAAGGGACTTGGGGGTTGGGTTTAACTATTAGTCAACCCTATGATTATAGTGCAAATCTAGTGATTTAATGATAAGTTATAATCATTTCATTACAACTAAATTACTAGTGTTGAAGATAGAGCTTAAACCCCTAATTGAGTTCATTTAGATCAATTATGATTGTGTTAGGGTTAGTTTAACCTAATGCTAGCTTTAGTTAATTTTTGTTCAAGTTTTTGGGTTAGATCATGATTTGAAAGATATTTGGTCTCCTCTAATGGGTCTTGCTAAGTTTGAAGGGACCCTATATTCATTTTAAGATTTGGTCATAATAAGCTTAAGTTTTGGGGTGGGTAGGGTTTCTAAATAATTTAATTAGGGTGGTTCTTCACCTATAATTAGCAAATTAAGATGGGCAAAGATTAACATCAATTTAGGTAGATCCAAGTAAGGGTGAATCCATATTAGGGGCTTTGGGGGGTTGTTCCCCTATTGATTTGGCGTAAAATTATCTATTAAATGTTTTTGTTTTACCTCTAAGTTAGAAATCCCACTCATCTCCCTACGCGATAGGCTAAACTTTTAATTACTTATATTGCTTGAGTGCTAAGTCTCTAACATTCATCGCCAATGAGAAAGAAAGCTTCATAAAAAAAAAAAAAAAAAAACTAAAGCTGATTATAAGCATTTAATTAAATAAGTGACATTATATATGCATTCTCACTATGAATATTATAAATAATCATTTGTGCAATTATATAGATTACTCTTCTTAATTACATATATCATAAATTATATTTTATAGTTTTAATAATGAAATAAGTATATATAAATTTTAAAATATGAAGATTCGGAGAGAGAAAATTCATGCAACATATATTGAAAAGAAAAAAATTATATATATATTACTTATATTATTGAATAAAAAAATTAATTTCAAGATCCAGATTTAATTAAAAAAATAATAATCCATGCTCTCAACCTGTTCACATCTACTGCAGCAGCGCCCATAGATATTAGAACAATTATTACGTCCTCCGACCGGATGTAGAGGAACGTCCTGTCGGAGGTCAAATCGCGCCAAAAAACGAGAAATACCGAACAAATACCGAGCAATACCAAACAATAACGAGGAATATCATTACGTGAAGACCAAATACCGAGCTATACCGAGCAAAACCGAGTTATACAAAAGTTGTACCGAGTTTTTCCTAGAAAAAAACTCCGTACAACTCGGTATTGCTCGGTATAACTCGGTATTGATCTTCACATAGTGGTATTCCTCGTTATTATCAAATAATACCTAATAATACTGAGCAAATACCGAATTTTTTGGCAGAATTTTGCCTCCAACCGAACGTTCCTCTACGTCCTTACACCGGACCTACTAAAAGTTCTAGATATTACGCCTTATGGCGTCCACACAAAGTTAATCGATCATCGTCCACACTCCATTGCGGTGCTTACTCTCTTTCCATCTGGTGCGGTCCCTACTCAGATCGTCAGATTCACACCAGATAAGAACACTCTAATTGTTGAGAAGTTTTTATTTTTTGTAAAATATTGAATGTTGAAAAGTCAAAATGAAAGGATAACACTGTGAATTTAATAAGCAACATTTATCATATCAAAAAAACATTTTAAATACATTTATTAAAATGTTATGCCATATCAAATGTAAATAAAATGGTGAGTGGTGAGTCAATCTTCTATTTATGAGCATTTCCCAATTAATTTAGTTGATTAAAATTCTAAGATTATTATCAAAATGATCAATATTCATCTGGATGAAATTTATGATTTAATACTGAACAGTCAATTAAAAAATAATATAGGGATATCATGAGATTTTTTTTAGAGAAATTTTGATTTTATATATCTCATATGTATGATTAATTATCCATCTTTGTTGTTTGTTTCGATGGAAAAAATTCTCTAAAAGATGCTTTCGAACAAAATAATCCTATAATAGAATGCATTGTTTTTCTTGACATTAAGATTTCGTTTGAGACAGCTTTCTTACTGCTTCTTATATCAACTTTCTAACATATAAATTTTAAATTATGTACTAAAATGCTGCTTCAGGAAGCAGTAAGAAAATCATCTCAAACAAAACCTAAAAATGCCCGAAGGACATAGTTACTAAGCATATTCGATGTCTTCCAAGTAGCATGTTTCTTTATGTTTGAGTGGTCATCTACATATATAGTCATCAAAATGTGGTTATATTAGGAAGGAGCTAATAATAAAATCATAGCGCATCCTATATGATGTTTGGTCCTCATATGAACGAAGATTGAACATCTAAATTGAACTTAGGATTCAACAATTAGATGATAAACAGGACATAAACAAGATTTAAGCCTCATGAATGAGGTTTAAACAATGTTCAAATATGGATTGAATGTCATTCGAGCCATATTCAAACGAGGTACAAATCTCATTCAAATATGATTTCATCTTCAATTCTCTCTATAACCAAAACAATTGAGATGCTTAAGGTGGAAACAGTGTTCCAACGAGTTTGAACCTCGTTTCTCGTTCAAATGAGATTTGAACCTTATTCAAATATTATCAGAACATGGTTCAACATATATCTAATGAGGCTTGAACATTGGGTCAAATGAGATTCATTTTTATATATTGAGTTCACCTGTCGTCTCCTCAGATTAGAGTCAGGGGTTTCAACATAAAAGGGGTGATGGTTGTATTCATACTTATATAACAAGCCAATTTTAATACATACCTTATGTTTGCTTGATAGGGCTTGTAGTCACTTGATTTAGACTCTAACCAGTGCATTACCATTTTTTTTAATCAAAATTTTATTTCATAACTTAAAAGGGTAGTACAAACATAAGCCAACTAAGCCAAAACCCACAACCACAAAGTTTAAACTACCACAATAGGCTGCAAATTTCCAAGTAATCAGAGACTTAAAATAAATAAAAAATCGAAGATAACAAAAAGAGGATTGAAGCACAACGGAATCACGATCACCACCCGGTTGCCAAGCTTGGATCATCCATTAGAGGCAGAAAATACAACAAGAAGTCCTCATACCAACCACATAACCACAAAGGTTGCCAAGACAAGAAAGGCCATCAAGGATGGCGTGTAGGAAACCTACATCATCATCATCTGACCTCATATCCTTGCCACCAATCCAATCAAAATCAAAAACCGACCAGCAACCAACGATCACATAAGCAAGCAAAATCCGACCAAAAAGAGTAGCCCCAAAAAAAGGAAGCACACATAACATCTCACCAAAGAGGATTCACACCCAGTCCAAAGAAGCCAAACCACACCACAACAACATTAATTACTTCTGATTAGATTTACGCCTATGCCGCTTGCCACCCCCATTGAAAAAAAGCCTTCTCAACAATGCGATTTACCTTCAAGTTAAACATTGCATTAAACTCCTCATATACATCCAACTCCTCCCCTACTTCCCCACAAGTCTGAGACTCCTCAAGCCAATCAAAATGATACACACTAGTATCATTCAAATTCACTGCTAATTGAGCTTACATATCCTCATTAGAAATGATAGTAATAGGAATTTCCACCATTTGCGCCAATTCTTCCAAAACCAAGGAACAAGAATATATAAAGATGGTTCATCTGAGGAAAAAATCAAATCACCTATAGAAACATTCAAAACCACTGTGTTAACATTACACACACCCATGTCCACTTCTAAATTGTCTTGAAATGAAACATGAGCTAAAGAATCCTTCACACCAATAGCAGAACCAACACCCTGACCATCCTCAAGACCACCAGAAATAACATTGCAAACATCCAAATCCTCCGAAGTGTGTACGTGCATCAGCCTTCGGAACCACTGGAACAACGAAAAATTTCACAGGAACAGACAATCATCCACCATCACAAACAGCCAAGGGAGGCTCCACAAGACTAACATCAATGGCAACAGACTGATCAACAGCCCTAGCTGCCACCACCCCAGGATCAGAATCCACCCCATTACTCACAATATTGAGGACCTCATTAGCATTAACAACACCAACATTTCCATCAACGACAACATTTTCCACATCACATGTTACATTACCAACAATCATAAGAGAATTGACAAAAGTAGCATGACTATTCACCGGGACAGAGGACTGGGTCCGACAAACTAGTACATTAATATGATTTTAAATTTATAACATTATTTGATGCAAAAGTCTAACTTTTGAGTTTGTAAGTATCTATCAACTATTATTATGATGCAATTAAGCATTGATATGATATTATTTAAAATGGTCGGAATACAACGATTATTATTGAAAGCTTTATGATAGATTTATTGCTTAAGTTTTTTAGATTAATGTCAAGGAAAAAATTATCATCATTTTTTTTAAAAGATCATGTCTCTTGAGCTAGTAATTTTGACTTATATTTTTATTGAAATTATATTTTAGTTCAAAATAAGCTTTTGATCCATTTTTATTTTTAAAATAAATAAATATTAAAAATAATTGATCAGTTATATATGCATGTAAAGTCAAATTTCTTATCTAAACAAAAACCAAATAGACGTGCAAACAATAAAATGGTCGTACCAAAAGCACAATCCAGAGAAGTTTGAGCGGAAGCAAAAGCGTCGCTTCTCTCTCTCTCTCTCTCGCTCGCTCCCTCTCATGGCGGTCATCAATACCATAGCCTCTCAGAGGTTCCTCTCCCTCTCCAACTCAACTTCCACGCTCTTCAGGTCCAAGTCTTCCTTTAACCTACCGTCTTCCTCCTCCTCCTGTATCAGAATTTCCGCCGTCTGTCCTACCGGAGCTCGTAGGTTTCGGCCGCCGCCAGCTTCCGTGTCGATTAATGACGGACTCGACGTCATCCCCGTCCAGAGCGTCGACTTGATGGATCAGCTTGATGCGATCGCACCTCTAATAAACAGGGAAGGAGAGAATGACGAAAGCTGCCTCGATCAGCCAGGACCAAGTGCGAACCAGATCGTGGGATTTGCTTTCGAAAGCCGGGGTGATGGAGGTGTGGAAGGAGGATTGGCCTTCTCCTCGTCTTCCTCTTCTTCTGGTTCTCCGATAGAAAGGGGGGATCAGTATAAGATTGTTGATCGGATCATCAACGCATCCATTGTGCTTGCAGCTGGCTCATTTGCCGTCACGAAGATGCTCACCGTCGATAGTGATTACTGGCATGTGGGTCATCTTAATCTTTTATTTCTCATGATTCAGCTCTCCTTGCTTTTATTCGTGAATTACTCGCATCGGAGTTAATTATTTCACTAATTATCATATATTTTATACTCCTTAAAAAAATATAGATTGGGATTTGGGATTATTTGCATGTCATTTAAACTTTATCCGTATCTTAAATTTTCTACTCCCCGTTCTTCTTTTTGGCTTTGATGTGATCATTCTTTGTTCCGCGATAACTTCCCTGTAACTGTGGAGTCAAACAACTGTGTCAGATGGTTCCTATTTGTTTCACTTGCAAATTCTGGGTGGATATCCAATTGTTCAAGGCTTGAGAGCCAATATCTTGATATGTGTGGTGCGAGAGAAACATTGAATTCCAATACACAAACATGGGTTGTGGTATCTTATTGAGTGATTGCAGTCCACAACTGTTGATTTACAATAAATAAGAGATGCTTCTTGTTAATATTTTCCTTGAACTCAAAAGTCTCATCTTTTGCTCGTGGGATATATTCATCTATGCAAATCATATAAAGTTATATTTGATAAAAGGAATTTCTTCTTTAGTTGCTTTGTTTAGATCTTGCGACTCAACTTTGCAAATGTTTTAATCCTTGCATGTTGAAGAGACTATTTATACTCATGAAAACTTATAAGTGTCACTAAGTTCTCTCCATATACATTCTCTTTTAACATTTACGGTAAGATGTTTTTATATTTTTCAATGTCTACACGATCAGGCTATTTAATTTTCCAAATTTATCGAAGATAAGTTCAATGATGGAAAACCAACATTGGTTCCACATCTTAACTGACAGCACAACCTGGTCTACTCCTACAACGTCGAAAACTGTAGCATCTAAATTTCACTTTCCCATAACGGAATTAAGTCTAATTGAAATTGTTGAGATAAGAGAGAGAAGGGTTCCGCATCTAAATTTTTCTTGCTTGAAATCAGTTGACTACCTTACATAGGTTCCTGATAGGAAACACTTGAAGATCTCAAGTGAAACCTAACGATCTTGACAAAATTAGCGAGGATACTCAACAAGTAGAGGAAAAATAAAAGAAAAATAGCCAACTTTACTGAGAAAAATCAACTAACGGAAGAAAAACAAACATGATACAAGTGATCCTCAATTCGAGAGGAGGATCGATCTCTCCCGATTCTCTAGACGCCGCTAGAGCCTAAAAGAAACCTAAACCTAAGAGATATCAAATTTCAGCCAAATTCAAGATGCCCTAACCCTAGGAAAACCAACTATTTAATGCATACAATTCAAAAGAAAATCTCTAAATAGTCCCTACTTTCAAATTTCTCTCTTAACTCCCTCAAAAATCCTTCTAAAACGGCTCCATCAAACCTGGGCGGTCGCATACAGGAGGCGGAAAACCTCCTCATGTTTCGCCCGTAAGCCAGTCCCGTATGGACTGGCTAGACCAGTCTAATAGTTCCCCATTCCGAAGGGGGTGAAATGCTAAGTGAACTCCATGGGCTCCCATTTTTTTGAAATTGGATGTATGTGTTGGCTATCATCAAGTTTGTATGGCATCCACATCATTCAAAAACGACCTTCCAAACACATGAGGCCCACTACGAATTAGTTGTGTTGCCATTTAGCTTCATGAGCATGCCATCCACTTTCCAAAGCATCTTGAATAATATTGTTAAATGTAATTTTTGATGATATTCTTATATGTATCGGTACAATGGATGATAACATCTTCTACCTCCAATATATCTTTGATTGTCTCCGCTTTATAACATTCCACTCCCATCGCTCAAAATGTTCATTAAACCTAGCAAAAGTATAATACCTTGCCTAAACTGTCTCCACAGATTGTGTATGCCTAATCATGACAAAATATATGTTATTTTGCAATGGCCAAGTCCCATGACATTCATAGCTTTTTTGTGGATTTCTCAATCTAGTTGGCTATTAGTGCAAGTTCATCAAAAAATTTGCAGTCATGGATAGCTTATTGATTAACCTGCTCAAATGGATACGTTCTGGAATGCCAATGCTCAATAATCCTTTAAGCGGCTAAAACATACTTCTGCGGACCACCTTTTTGATGCCATTAGACTTCACAAGCCTTCTATCGTTGGTATTGATGTGTTCAGCAACTATATTAGTGTAGTTCTGAACCAAAAACAATAAGCCACTCATATTTCATTATAAGAAATTAAGTAGTTAAATGAAATAGGCATCCACATATGTTAGCGAGATGTTCACTATAATAAAGGTTGTAACAAAGTGGTGACAATACTTGTTGGTTTGTCCAATTACCATAAGAATATATTGAAAAAATATTCATGAGCTCCTGACATAGGTGATTCAAACATCGGGAACATCAATGATTCCTTCTTAAATTGGTTGGATATAACTATACAACTGAATATGAACCGGACAATGTGAACAAAGTAGTGGATGCATTGTCCCACATTCCTAAATCGATCCCATCACAATAGTTGCTTCCTAAATGCTGCTATTCAGTTCCACGACTATGTTCAACCTACTCAATCAGCTATGCTAGGAAGCTAAGACACTTCTTGGGCTTCAAAAATTGCAATAACAAATACAAATAAATCCCGACCTTTAACCATTGTGGGCTCTGAAAATTCACGCCCCGACCTCTCTGCGGACCCCTTCCTCTCATTTCTTCGTTTTCAGGTCGTTGAGGAGAGTTTTAATACTTAAGTTCCGAAGCAAATTTTCAGAAAGCAATTTGAGTTTTAAATAAGACACTACCCAGAGATTTCACCCTCATTTTGTTATGAATTTATGATATGAGTTCTAGTTTCCTATAGTCGCAAACCTCTATAGTTAATTACTTCTGATAACAAGAGAGGACTTTCTATTAAGGCTAGTCGTCAAACAGATATGTAGAGATGCGTAGTATCTGGTGTATAGTAGCAGCATGGGTTTCGATATTTGAAATTTTGATATTAAAATTAGAAATTTCATCATCTTGCACTTAAAGCGGATGGTGAGGAAATGATGATGAGCCCGATCAAGATCTCATAGTTCCGTCGTCCCGGGCCATCATGGTCCCTGGTCAACTTGGTTATAGGAGGTAGTCAACCCAACCTGATAGAATGATCCTTTTTGGCAGCCTTGAGCTGCTTCGTACAATGGTACCTTGTAGACCTGGGGTGAATATTTGTCTAAGGGGACAAATTTGGATCACCTTAGCTAACAGGGGGCTTTATGTCTTATCGATTATATTCTATTGATTCATTACTCGTTGATTTAAATCAATTGGGGAGCATGCTGGATCTAACTATGACCATAATATAATGATGTCATTTCACGACAAAACCTCTCAATCAAGGGTCCCGATCATAACCATTTACCTGTGGTACCATTTAGTAGCAAAACCATCGGTGTTGTGCCATTTGGTAGCAAAATCATCGATTATAGGACATGTGCCACATTCTTACGGGAAAGAGACAGATTGAGAATGAATCATTGTGATATTCTTTATAAGACATTTATTCTTTATGAGTTGAAGCAATTTTTAAATTGTCCTTCTCAGTAAACTATTGTGAATGATGGATGGATTTAGCTTTATGTGATTGATGACTTATTTTAATTTTAAATATTTTACATTTTGATATTTTTGAAAATTTAATTTTTTATGGGCATTTTGGAAGCATTTTCAAATATTTGTGCTCTCCTCCGGTTGAAGTTTTCTATCAACAAGGGCATCATCGAGGTAATGTTGTAGTCACTTTAAAAGATTTATATTTTGTTGTAGCTTGAAAACATCGGAAAGTATAGGGTCCCCTCCAATTGAGATAAATATTCAACACGGCTATCATCAGGATTTTCATGGGCCATTTCATTTTTTGTTGATTGAACCTTGTTGACTATGCCTAATTTCCAGCAGAGGATCGGGTTCATTATCGGTTGTATGCTTTTATTAGTTAATTTTTCTAGTTATAGGCCTTGAAAGCCTAATATAAACGCATTAAAACAAATATCTCAATCACGACGTTAACTGTATATTTGTTTGATAGTTCGTGTCGTGTCTGTAAAAACTCAAACTCTTAACTATTGAGATATTGTCCGCTTTGTCCTAAGAGCCGTACGGTTTTGCCCAGTTGATGTAACTTCCCAGTAGATCACCCATCCCAAAATTGCTATGGGATGAGCACACTTAACTGCAAAGTTTCTTATGAAAATTTCAGCCATTACACCAAAAGGCGTCTCGATCTTTAAGAGTTAGTTTTTTTTTTTTTACTTAAGGGGTTTCACAATCTCCCCCACTTAAGTAACTGACGTCCTCCTCATCAGCATATGTATCCCAGAATCATTCATCAGGTAGATAGGACTCTAGAGGTGGCCCCTACAAGTTCAAGTGGTGGCTCCTGTCATATAGCACTTTGTCCCATACAGGGTTCAAGAGGTTGCTCTCATGACATAGCACTTTGTCTTGTATAGCACTTAACTTCCATCTTCCGGTTGGTGTATTGCTCTGATATCATTTGTAACAGTTCAAACTCTTAATTACTGAGATATTGTCCGTTTTGGCCTAAAGCTTCACGGTTTTGCTTTATTGGTGTAACTCCCAGTAGGTCATCCATCCTAGAATAGCTCTGGGATGTGCACGCTTAACTGCAAAGTTTCTTATAAAAATTTCAATCATTACACCAAAAGGTAACTCGATGTTTAAGATTTAGCTTTCTTTTTTTTTTACTTAAGGGGTTTCACAGTGTCGACTTCTATTTTATCGCATAGAAGGATCAGGTTCGAACTTAAATTTATCATTTGACCCACGCAGCATCCTCATACATTACGTGTGTACCTATAGCATGCTCGTCGGGGCCCATGCAAGTATATGATTTTGCATGCAATTTGTATGATTTGGTTATACGATTGTCGTACTTGTACAAGAGATATGTATGTCTTAAATGCATATGTGTATACGCATTTGCACAAGTGCTTGCATGTTTTCATAACAAGTTTTGCATGTTGCAATGCATACAGGAGGACATTTTAAATATTTCGTATCAACGAGTCATGCAAATGATTGTCCTTTGAGTGTGCACAACATTTTGTTAGGAAGCTTGTCGATATCTTATGTCTGTTTTTATAAGTGTTGTAGATTTGGTGGCGTGGCATAACAGCTTGTGGACATATTTGTCTATTTGTCGAGTGTTGTAGATCCGGTGTCGTGGCATAGCAGCTGCAGGTCTCTTGTTTCTTTATGCATGTAGACTGTTGTACACTAACGAATCTCTTGCAGGCGTTCATAGATAATTGTATTTGCTGCAATTCTTCTGCATTTACTATAATCATTTTGCATTTTGCTTGTGGATAGCTTGCGGCAAACATGACGAGACTCCTATAATAGCTCATAACACGTCATCAATCTTTTCTTGCAGAGGATGAATATATTTGACGGCCATTATCTGGTTATTGACTGCAAGGGTGTTGCAGTGTATATTGTATGTTGATGATTATCATTGTTGCTCGTACAACAAATCTCCAACCATTTCCAGTGAGCATTTGCATTGGCCACAATCTTCTGTCCCATGCCTATAAGAAATTCTCATGCCTATAGAAGATCCACCACATCGGTGATACATTCACTATCTTTGTTCGTAATGCTTGCTATATGCATTACAAGCTTCCTACTATTACGTGTGAACAAGTTGTGTTGTATGCAGATCTTCTAATGTTGCTCGTAGGCACTTGCATTTGTTTTATAGTGGTCGCTTTTTCTTGTAAAGGATAAATTCATATCACCTGGCATTGAGTTGTCGTTAATTATACAAATGTCTTGGCATTCACTGCATTTTGCATTTGTATGTTTGCAGGAGGTTTTGTTGTTTGCAAGCGTATTATGTGTTTATTTGCGAGTTTAATTGATGTTGATTACGGGTGAGCGGGTAGGCTCATTACAAGCTTCTGGTCTTCGCTTGTGGATAGTACGTTGCCTATATTTCTATGTCTATAAGGGATCTATTACACTTGTGGAATATCCACCACTATTACTTATAGTGTGCTCATACAAGGGATCTATTACACTTGCGGCATATCCACCACTGTTGCTTGCAGTGTGCTTATAAGTTGCATTCATCACTAATTTTCATATGATCGTTGATTGTTATTGTATGGTAATGTTGGTATTTTTATCGAAGTTCGTTGCCCCTATCCTTCCATAAGCTATAACGTTTACACTACAAATTTTCTTCTTCTACTTGTAGATGATGCATTGTGCATATGATGGGTTCTTGATTCTCTCCTGTAGATGATCTGTTAATGAATGTTTGTATTCATCGCACATCTTGTAGTCATTGCAATCATTTCAAATCACTAGTTGCATTACTCTTTTTATTGTTTATGAACAGCTCATTGTGTACATTATAGATCCCTTGTTGCTTGATGTGTTTGCTTGCAATTGAGGTTGTTGCATTTGCTTGTGTGAATGATGTGAATGTTACACATCAACTGTTATTATTTATAGGCAATTTACAGTAATGTTTAAGGACTTTATATATCTGTTTACAATCAAATCATAAGTTTCCTTTGGCTTTGTTGCTTGCGAGCGAGTTATGTTGAAAACCATAAGTCCTTGTAATTGTTCATTGATTTTCATGTTGATGATCGTGATTATTACTTGGCATTTATACTTTTAATGTGATTGTGCATTTGTTAATTTAAAAGTTTAGTTCCCTGTGCATTTTGTTCAAGCTCTCCCTACTGCTCATACCAGTCCCCTGCTGGTAGGTTCAAGTCCTCTGTGCTTATGTTCAAATTCAGGTCCTCTGTTTCACTAAAAATTTCGGCAGCCTTCCGGTGTCTCTCTCATTTAGGGAAAATCTGAGAGTATGGGTCTTCCTATCACGCTACGAAGAGCGTATATGGTAGGTGTTGAGCGACATCACGGCCGTGATTCTTCAACCCCCAACACATTACGAATAACGTGTATGGGTCTTCTAGGTACATATTTGAAAACACAGTTTAGCTAAGGGTGTTGACACAAGAGGTCTGGCTGGATGGGTTTAGGAGCTGGTGTTGACACAAGAGGTCTGGCTGGATGAAAAAGGGGTCAGCTGCAGTGGATTGGGCGGCTAGGTCGCTTGGCTAAGGGTGACTTGGAGTTTGAGTATAGGCACTAAAGGCGTCGGAGTTGAACAAGTTGAGGGAGTCGGACAAGGTTTTCGACTGGCTTGTTGCAGTCAGAAAAGAAGCAGGTTGCTGCAGTTGGGGAATCGGCACAGTGAATTGTAGTAGTGCAATGTGGTAAATTTCTAATTTTAAATATTAAATTTTCAAATACCAAATCATGCTGCTACTATACGCCATATACTATGTATATGTTTGATGACTAGCCTTAATCGAAAGTTCTCTCTCGCTCTTGGAAGAGGTAATTAACTTTAGGGGCTTGCGCCTATAGGAAATCTGAACTCATATCATAAAGTTCTCGTAAAATGAGCGTGAAATCTCTGGGTAATGTCTTATTCAAAACCCAATTTTCCTTCTAAAAATTTGCCTCGGAACTTAAGCGTTAAACGACGACCCTAAAAAGAAAAAAGGGACCGCAGAGAGGCTAGGGCGCAAATTTTCGGAGCCCACAATTATCATGCCACCAACCTTCACACCTCTTTACATTGCTTCTAATTTCATTGGTGAAATCTGTCACAGGCGTGGAATTATGAAAACTTTATTAGATCACAATTGCATATTTATGAGCATATTCTGGCATGCTCTTTTCATAGAGCTCGATATATATTAACATTTCAGCTTCGTGCTTCATCTGAAATCTGACCTACAAATAGAAGTCTTCAACTGAGGCTTGGAGCAGTATCTCTAGTGCTATGTTTTGGATAATCCCAAAGAGTTGTTGAAATCCCTAACATGGGCAGAATTTTTTATGACACCTCACTTCATTCGACCATTAGAATGTCCCCTCTTGAAGCTTCACGGTTCACTTAAACCGCATACAAGCCAGTCATCTGTAGTCAGCGACGTGTACTATTGGCTACTTAAAGTAGAGTATGCACTATAGTTTGTTACATACACAACAATGTATAAACCAACATGTGGATAAACATTGTCGGGATCTCTAGTTTGAAGTAAATAACTTGTACTCTTCCAACTTCAGTCTTATCACTAAACATTGCTCCGCTCTGACTAATATTCCAAACTTGTTAAATGTTACTTTGTGCCTTAAAACTTTCTATAACGCAATTGAAAGGTTGCTTATAAGCTTGATTTACTTCCACACTCCAAAATTCATTTTATCATTCATGTTCCACTCAAACCAGTAAAAAAAAAAATCCCAACCTCACCCACTCTATTGCCACCTAATAACTAGTTGAAGTGTTGAACAAGCCCGTTCTCCAACTAAAGCGTATGCTCGACTCATGCCATTCTGCAAGTGGAATGCTTAAAAACAACTCCACCTCATTTAGTGGAAGAATGTTCCTATTGAGGATGCTACGTGCCTTGATGAAGAACAGCTCTGACACACCTATCCTTACCTCAAGTTAGGATAAGATCGTTCTTCCAAGGGCAATGGGAGTTAATACAAACCTGGTTGGAGCAAAACCTCGGAGGACTTTGGGGTGGCTATAGTTTACCATGAGGAAGGATAACATTGGGTGAAAGTGGGTTGACCCAATAATAAGTATTTAGATTTGTTTAAGTTTGTTAGTAGCGGATAGGTGACCCCTTTTGATCAGATGAGTTGGTCAACGTTGTTTTGTAGATAGGACAGTTGGCAGCAGATAGTGCAAACAATGATTGGGACTTAAGGGGTATATTGACTGTAATGGAAAAGAGTTATGCTATGGAAAATGACAATTCTCTTTTTTGGGTTTCTCCTCCTTCACTGAGTCTCTCTATTCTGTTTTCCTTCTAACGCAACCTTCTTTTCCTGTATTCGTCCCTCTACCTGAAGTTGCTGGCGAACTCCAAAATAGGCGATTGTCTTATGCATCATATTTTCTTTTCAGTTGGGATGGAATGCTTTTAATTTATTAATTATTATCAAATTGCACATATCATGCTTCTTTTCAAACAAAAATGAGAAATCTCGATGTCATTTTGATGAACTTGAAAAATTGTGATGGAATAATTGTTTCCTGAGCCACCCCTCCTGCAATTGAGCCTCATGAAGTTAGATTAAGGCTTTGTTTGGGACGGCTTTCTTTCTGCTTCTTAAAGTAACTTTCTAGTACAAAATCTTTTTATTTTGTACTAAAAAGCTGCTTTGCGAAGCAGAAAAAAAGCCGTCCCAAACGAAACCCAAGTAAAATTAATTGCTTAGGTAGTATGAAGCATTAAATTGTTAGATCAACAAGTGATGGCTCATGAAGAACTACTGAACAGTGGAAGAATATTGTCCAGAGGAAAGAGATAACCCTCAAATTTATGCAGTTAGATTTAAGGATCATATAGATTTTAGAAATTTTCTGGCTACTGAGCGTATAGGTTTCTTTTTATTCTTCTACGGTTTCGTTTTATTCCTCTACGTGCGTCTTTTTTTGGCACTAACTGTGCTTGCACATGCCTGCCATTGCGGGAGTGCATCCATCATATTCTCTCTCTCTCTCTCTCTCTCTCTCTCTCTCTAAACCGTGTTAAAATGTTCCCTCTTTCTCGCTGCTGCTTTTTTGTTAGCGTGGAGTAGCCTTTTCAATGACAATAGCTTTCTTGTGTATGACTTTGCATGTGCTCTAAATTTTGTACTATTCAGGAACTTTGTGAAGCTGTAAATATTAGTGACTCTTGACACTCTTATTAGAGAACTGAGCTTGTCATCTAGCATGGTTCAGCGTTTCTTAATTTTGATCAGGGATTAGCGTATCAACAATGATTTATCTTTACACAACCGTTACTCTTACCATCCTTAAATGATCAACTGAGACTTATATTACTTCAGGGTTGGACTTTATATGAGATTGTAAGATATGCACCCTTGCATAACTGGACCGCATATGAGGATGCTTTAAAAACAAACCCTGTCTTGGCTAAAATGATGATTAGTGGAGCTGTCTACTCTATAGGAGACTGGATTGCTCAGGTAAATACTACATTTGATCTTCAGATGCTCAGTAGACCTTGGCTTCGTTTGGGACAGTTTTTTTGTTGCTTCTTAAAGCAATTTTTTAGTACAAAATAAGAAATTTTTGTACTAAAAAATTGCTTTCCGAAGTATAAGAAAGCCGTCCCAAACGAAACCTTTGTTCACCTTTTTCCAGTTTTTAAACGTATATAATCCCTCTCTTTATTTTTTTTTGTTAGTGTTATTCAGGGAAACCTCTTTTTGACTTTGATCGTGCTCGCATGCTACGCTCAGGACTCACAGGATTTGCTCTTCATGGTTCTCTTTCTCATTACTACTATGAAATCTGTGAGGTGGCTATGAATTGACTAGCATTTTGCAATTAGTCATTGCAGTTTTTGCTTGTAATGCTCATATATATTGTTTCTATTGTGTAGTACCTATTTCCCTTCCACGATTGGTGGGTGGTCCCAGTTAAAGTAGCATTTGATCAAACTGTCTGGTCTGCAATTTGGAACAGCATTTATTATGTGGTCGTTGGTTTCTTGCGATTAGAGTCTCCAGCAAACATTTTCAGCGAACTGAAAGCTACCTTTTGGCCTATGTTAACTGTAAGAATCACAAACCTTCATGTTATGTCATCTATCGATTACTGGGTTGTAAGAATGAGCCCCAGAAATGTTAAATTATTTTGAAAAAAAAAAATTATGTTTGGTTGGATGTTTTTAAAGTCCATGTGTTTTAGAAATGCATAGTTATTTGAATGTATACTTATTTAGAAATATACAAGTTATTTGGTTGGATGCAAATTAAATGCATTGAAATTTTTTTTCTATGTTATGATAAATTTCAAATGCATTAAAATATGGTGGGGCGGTGGCAGGCCACCAATGGCTACGGTTGAATGACAGTGGAGGGCATCAACTGTGGGTGGGGAAGGTGAGGTCGCAGGCCGTGAGTTTTTCATAAAGTTGGAATTCACCTAGTTCGGATGAATTCCAGCTTCGTCAAAAATAAATATTCTAGGATTTTTGACATTCTAGGATATTCCAAATCCCTTACACAAATGCTTTGTATTTCATTACGACAAAGTACATTGACTTTATAGAGCAGTTTTCCAAACAGTTGAAATTCACCTAGTACATTGACATTATTTCATTACTCAGCTAAACTAGTACTTTGATTATTCCATTTACTTAAAGTATTTTGAAAAGAAATCAACTTATGTTGTTCCAAGATTATCAGTTAAATTTTATAGAACAGTATTCCTGAACTTCTAATTTTTTTGACATTTAGGTTTCGTTTGGGACGGCTTTCTTACTGTTTAAAACAGCTTTTTAATAAAAAATTAAAAATTTTTGTACTCAAAAGGTGCTTAAAGAAGCAGTAAAAAAGCCATCCCAAAGGAAACTTTAATTTATGTGTTTTCATGACATGCCTGGCTGTTGCATCTTTGAAATCTTTGACTAACTCGGTTTCACAGGCTGGGTGGAAACTTTGGCCTTTTGCCCATTTGATTACTTACGGGGTAATTCCAGTTGAGCAGAGACTTCTTTGGGTTGACTGTGTTGAGCTCGTTTGGGTTATGATACTATCAACGTACGCATCTTCTTTTTAATTCTCTTAAACTCGTACTATTTCAACAAAAAACATTATATCAAAATATATCTACTTTCTCAGTTACTCAAATGAGAAGTCTGAAGCAAGACTGTCAGAGGCTATATCTGAGCTGAGTGCAGAGTCTCAATCTGTTGTAGCTCCAGAGGTACTGTACATAATAGTTTGTATTTTTTTCTAAATATTGTTCCAAATGGCTATAACTTTTGATCATTTACTCTGTAGGAGATGAATAAATAATTTCTGCCAGTAGTTGATGATGAATTTGTTTGGATTGGATGGCTGCAAGTGGTAGCAGGAAGAGCTTTGTGGATTCGTTGGTAAGTGCAGTATGTATTTGTGAGTAGCTTTCTAAATGTTCTTTTGATGTATAAAGATACTAGATGAAATTGCAGATAATTGAGGTCTGTAATATAGCAATCAAAACTGTTTATAACTTCATCATATTCAACTATTTAATGAAAATATCTGGCACACATGTAGATAAATGCAATTTAGAAAAGATGAAAAAAAAATTATGAGTAAAACTCAAAAAGGGTAAGAAATATGGGATCTAATTCTTTTGAAATAATCCACTATATAAGTAAGTTTAGAAGAGTTTATTCTTCTCTTCAATTAAGGAAAATGAGATAAAAAATTATAGAACATTAACTTGACCTCTTGTGACTATTGTGGAGAATGCTATAGAAAGTGGAGATGGTAGTTTTAGTTAGAGATGACAATCAAATAATGTCAGTTTGATTATGGTGGTCAGGTGATGATGTTAGGGCAATTGTGCTCAGATGATAGCAGTCGGGTGATGATTATTTGTTGGTGGTGATTATCATTGTTGATTGTTGGACAAGACTCCAAAATTATTTAGATCTCTAATATGTCTCCTTAATCAAAAATAGCTTCAGAGGCATTTAAGTACCATAATGACATTAGAATAATGTTATTTTAAGCTCATTAGATTTCTTTGATTGAGGCACTCATTTTAGCTAGAAGTACGCAAGATTTAGGTATTATTTGTTATGTTAAATAGTGTCGTAACATTTCTAGTTACATTTGAACTATTTGATTTCAGTTCATTTGGACATGAATTGAAAAACTTTTGTCGTCGTTGAGCTCATCTCATCTAAAAGTTTGATTGAACTTTAAGCTTATTGGAAATTGGAGTTATGATGTTTCTAAATTTAATTCCAAAATTTTCAATTCAAATATTACATTATGATTTGTGTTTGATCAAATGAATTTTTTGATGGCACAGTCATAGATTTTCTAACTAATTCTAAAATAATTATTTAAATTATCATCAAAATGACTAACAAATTAATAATTTGTTAAGATACTGAAGTTTTAAATTAATTATATGTTTAATTAGCTAAATTTGAATTTAATTAATATCTTTAAATAATCATAAATAGTGTTTGTTAAAGTTCTCTCTCGTTATCGGGAGAGGTAACTAACTATAGGGCCTTGTGCCTATAGGAAATCATAACTCAGATCATAAAGTCTTAGCAAAATGAGGGTAGAATCTCTGAATAGTGTCTTACCAATAAACCCAATCTGCCTTCTGAAAATTTACCCCATAGCTTAATCTGTTAAAACTCCCCCTAATGAAAGGTGAGGGGAGGCCAAATGCTCAAATCACAAGAATCTTTTGCAAGGAAATAGGCCTTGGTGTAGAGGTGTCAAATAGTATTTGCGAGTCGAGTTCAGGTCCAACTCGACTTTGACCCGCCAATTCTTTACCCGATTTGAACATGACCCGATTTAGGATTCGGTCCATCTTTTCAACTCAAATCCAACCTAATTTAATTTCGGATTAACATGAACTGACACGGATGCCTTTCATAATTAAATTTACATATGTAACGGTAACAACTAATAGCAATAGGTAAAATTATACATTAGAACTTTAGAAGCAAGGTAACAACAAACAATGAAGCAAGAATCAAAAGATATCAAGAGACATTGAGATAACTTCATAGCAAATACAACATTACAAGATGAAGCATTTACTGCATAATAAACGATGAAATGCACATCATTGATTCAAGAATTTCAAGTTCAACATTTATACCCGCCAGTGACCAGAAATCACTATCATAGTCCTAAAGTCACAGATATACTCGAATATGACATACCAATTACACTGCAATAATTGCATGTCTACATTAAATCCCTGATGTCACTACTACTTAATTATAATTTATAAATCCATAAAGCAATAAAGCATAATCCTGTTACAAAGAAGTAACAAATCCTAAAAAAATTCCATGATGAGTGATGTCAACTAAACATGCAAGGGGTACAATCCTTTAATAGCAGACTAAAACAAGCCTAAAAAATACAAAGCCCTAAAAAATCAAAAAAAAAAAAAAAAAAAAAAAAAAAAAAAAAAAAAGGGAAAAAATGATGCCCTAACCTGCATATCAAAGTCTTCAATGCAAAAAGTCAAAGGCAGAAAAATCAAAACCCTAACTAATTTAAATTTGAAGGAACAAATCAACAAACCGATAATAACAAAATAAAAAAAGAAATAGTAAGATACCCAAAAAAACTAAATGGAAAAACTAAAAAAAGTAAAAAAAATAATACAACATAGGCATAGAGTGCACGCTAATGGATTAAGATAGAGGAATCGAGGAGAGCTCCAGGCAGGAGGTGGAGGAGAGGAAACCCTAAACTAGGGGTGTCAATTCGGGTCAACCCGTCGGGTTCGGGTCGAACCCGAACCCAATCATTAACAACCCTACCCTAAACAACTAAATGTATGATGAGATGAAGAGGAAGCTAGAGCCAGAGAGCTAAGAGTTTGAGACTGAGAGCGTTGAAGACTCGAAATGAAATAATTAGTATGATGATTAGGCTAAACCTAAATCGAGCGATATTTGACTAATACACATAAAATCAAAAGGGTGGGGCTACTTGCATAGCGCAGTGGGTCAAAATCGAGTTTCTGGGTTGACCCGAACCTAATCAGAAATTCAAAATGAGTCGAAATTAGGGACCCGAACATAATCCATTCTTAAAATGGGTTTACCCTAACCCAAAAATTTCAGATCGATTTCGAGTCTAGTTTTTGTGCCATGTAAATTTTTGACACCCTTAACTTGGTGGCTATTTTTGAAGGTTCTCTCACTTTCATTAACCTTAGGTCAAATCATATGAAAGGACATATTAGTAAAATCATATCATTTCAAAATAATCATTAAAAACAATTTAATAATAGATTTCCGTAGTTTACCCGTCAAAATAACTCAAATTATGGGCTTGATTGGGCTCCTAATTGTAAAAGATAATTTACATTATTTTGCTATAAAAATATGCTTAATGGCGGATCGTTATAATTTGAAAAGACTCGTTTGAAGTTCTAGAGAGTAGAGATTCATAAATGTTAGCGGAGGCTCGCTATAATTAATTTTCGGATCTTGAATCTCTGCATCTCTATGGAGTAGGCACAAAATTGTGTAACTACCCATTAACTTTGTGGAGGCACATTGCTCATCTTAGGCTTCGTTTGAGACGGCTTTCTTACTGCTTCTTAAAGCGGCTTTCTAGTACAAAAAATTTAACTTTTTAACTAGAAAGCCGTTTTAAGAAGCAGGAAGAAAGCCGTCCCAAACGAAGCCTTAGACTTCGTTTGGGACGGCTTTTTTACTGCTTTCCAAAACGGAGTTTTAGTATAAATTTTTTTATTTTTATACTAAAACTTCGTTTTAGAAAGCAATAAAAAAGCCGTCCCAAACGAAACCTTAGTTTATTAGTTGGAAGTTTTGGCTATCAATTAATAAGTTTTATTTGGGACAAGTTTTTTGCTACTTTATAAAACTATTTTTTAATACAAAAATTTCTAATTTAAAAAAAAAGTACTAAAAAACTGTTTGAGAAAGCAGCAAAGAAGCTACCCCATGTTTTGAAGTGCTTTTTTATTGTTTCTTAAAATAAATGTTTAGTATAAAAACTAAAAATTTGTTCTAAAATGTTGCGTTTACAAAGAAGTAAGAAAGCTGTTCCAAGTAAAGCCTAAGAGGTCTTAAGCTTAAGTCTTATCTTGTGTGTATAAATTTGCCTTTCTTGACCTGAATGTGTCAAAAGCAAAAACAAAATAATAATAATAATAATAATAATAAAGACTTAATGGAGGTCTACAAAGGTTTATAGATACCTTTGAAGTGTATTAAAAGTAATGATAATAATTTGTTATTGAAAATAATTGCTTATTAATATGCATAAATTGGAATAATTAATTTTATCTATTAAAATTTTTTTTTGGGGAATTATCTATTAAAATTTAAAAGTAACTTCTTCCTCACTTGCATCCATTAAATCCCTTCATTATTTTATTTTAAGTGGTTTTTATACATGATTGACCTAATAAAATTTTCGAGTTTAATTACTCTATTTTCATGTGCTTGAAATATACTGATAGTGTATTTTTTTTAAAAAAAAATTAACTTTTTTAGTCAATTAAGACATATTCATACACATTACATATGTAAGTTTCACATCCAATACCTCTTAATTGATAATCAAAACTCTCAACTAATAGATGAAAATGACCTCATTAACTCCTTCAGAGAACCTCATAGATTGCTTAAGAATAACATAATTACTCAGTTCCTTCAAATAATTGGCTTATGTTTGGACTGCTCGCCTGCTTACATAGCAGACATAGCTCAAGTTAACAACATGAACACAACTGTTTACTGAAGCCTGTTGAGGATCATTTTTTTAAAATAAAAATCCGACAACATTTTTGTTTGCTTGCTTCTACTTTTATTTTAAAAACAATTTCTTTTATCCGCCAGCTCCACTCGCCCTTTATCCTCCAAATCTATCTGTGGATGGAGAAATTATTCTGTGCAGAGGCCAGATGCAGAACGTTGTCCAGGGACCAAACAAAATGTGTGACGGTACTGAGCCGCGATACCGATCAAATAGGTGACATGGCATATTTTAATTAGTCTCTGAACGGCGTTCGACATCCGCACAGAATAATTAATCTGTGGATATCAACCTCCGCACTGTGCCACAACAACAATTTGAAACTCATCAACAATCCCACTTAAATTAAAATATCCAAAGGAAAACACACAATAGTAATTGACCTTTAAAACACAAGAAATCAAGAACTACAATAAAAAACACAAGAAGAAGATTAAAAGCTACGAAACCCCTCTTTCCACATCTGATACAAGAACAAGGATCCATCAGTCAAGAACAGAGAAACAAAGTACAACTGAAAGACCTCAAAAAAAAAAAAAAACTAAGGCATGATACACACACATATAATCGTCTCTAACTAGTAAGAAAACAGAAGCAACTGAAACTAATCAAAGTACATAAACCCTAAACAAAAGGAGAAGAACTGGAATGAGAAATGGCCAGCCAGAACCTCTTCAGTTCTTCACTCTTTGGAAGATTTGTTGATGAGGGATTTGTGAATGTGAGGGATAACGCCGCCACCAGCAATGGTGCCCTTAATGAGAGTGTCCAGTTCCTCGTCGCCGCGAATTGCTAGTTGTAAGTGGCGAGGAGTGATGCGCTTCACCTTCAAGTCCTTGCTAGCATTACCCGCCAGCTCCAGAACCTCAGCAGTTAGGTATTCGAGTATTGCAGCTGAGTATACAGCTGCAGTTGCACCGACGCGGCCATTGGCTGCAATCCGAGACTTCAGCTGGCGATGAATTCGACCAACTGGGAACTGGAAATCAATGAAACAGTAAAAACGTTTAGTTCAAACAGATAATAAATTTAATATCTTTTCTGAATCTCAACATTCATCTGGTTCCTCTTAGGGCATCTCCAACCGAAAATCTCATTTTTCACTCCAAAATACCGTAAAATAAAAAAATGTCGTGATTCATCTCCAATCGGACGCCATTTTACCCGTAACGGTCCTTCGCGCGTTTCTTCGGCAAGTTCGGTAGAGAACAAAAAAATGGCAAAGATGAACAGTGCAACGCCAATATTGGCATCGCACTGTTCATCTCCGATCAAATGGCGTCAAAAATGGCGGTCGATTGGAGCAAAGCAAAAACGGCAAACAAGTGCTTGCCGTTCCATTGGAGTTGCCCTTAGGCTTTATTTAGGATGAATTTCTTGCTGCTTTTTAAAGCAACTTCTTAATACAAAACTTATAAATGTTTGTAACAAAAAATTACTTTAAGAAATAGTAGGAAAACCATCTTATTGTTGCAGTAATTCTATACATTAGGTTTTATGTAACAATAAAAAAAAAAAAAAACATCATTGTTACCAATAATGTTATATTACGAGGGCTAATTTTATGAACAGATAAAAGTGTTACATATTTTCTATTCCCAATAGGAGAATAATTATTTTTGAAACAATTGATCCTCATTTTATTTTATGAACAGATAAAAGTGTTGCATATTTTCTGTTCCCAATAGAAGAATAATTATTTTCGAAACGATTGATCCTCATAGTTTTGAAATATTAGGCTTTAAAGATGAGAGATATTCATTTTTATTAATAAACATTTAAAATATAAACTAAAATAAAATTAATTTAAATATTTTTTGGAAGGAGAATATTATTTTCAAATTGATTTATATATTAATATGAATAAAATTACACTCCATAAATAAACATCCAAATATAATGAACTTCCTTGATAAACATGGGTCGCATCATCATGTCTGTAATTTTTATTGTATTATATATGCAATGTGAGGAGCCAAATAATCAATGGAAAGATAATCCATAAAATACTAAAACTCTCAGGATTCTATCATAGGTGTGTATAGCATTACTCGCTTCATTTAAAAATAATGCAAAAATTAAAACATACATGATATCTAATTTGGATTAAACAATGAATACATTAAATAACTATGACTTGATCCTTTTCAAATGAAAAAATGTATTTTTTTTCTCCCATCAAAAGGATATAAAATAAAACCAGAGAACTATTTTGGAAAGAAACTCTCATTTACGAGAGATTATTCTGTGCGGTGTCTGAATGCGTCCGGATGCTATTCTGGACATGCCACATCACCCAATACATTGTGCATTGGGTGATGTGCCGCATCCTGATTAACTATCGAACACATCCGAACACTGCACGTAATAATTTTTCCTTATTTACAAATTTAAAACTTTTCAAATGACAATTTTTCTCTCCTCAGGCTTTAATCATGATATATAGATATATAAACATATTGACATGTAATAAGTAATTAACAACCCAAATATTTAAATTAAAAACTTATGGTTGTTTTGCAATTCAATGTAGAACCAACATATATTACAAGTCATATTTCATGCATAATTTCGAAGGTCTGAACAACAAATTTAGGTTTTGTTGGGACAGCTTTCTTAATGCTTTCTAAATAATTTTTTAACACAATTTTTTTGACTAAAAATTTGGATATTAAAAAGTTGATTTAAAAAACAGTAAAAAAATCGTCCCAAATGAAACATTAAGCTTGGCTTAGGGTGCTTCTACTTTCTAAAATAAACTAGTGGTAAAGCAACTCAAATTTAGCTTATCCTGTCTCTAGAAAATTATAAGAATCAATTAAACAGGACATCAAGACTGCTGTGGATTCATTTATCCAATTCAGATTGAGGACCAAAGAAACAAACCTCCACAAAAACAAGTACGCAAAACTAACTTGAAAGCAAATATCAATATTTCACAAACCAAAAAACTCGAAGTATTTTATTACATTCAATGTGGTATAATGTGATATGAAAGAGGAATGCAGAACACATGTCACCTTATTTATGAGTGTTGAAAATATATTAAATTGAATAAGCATACAAACATTTATAATTAAAACTTGTTATTCACTCTCTCCAATTCTAACATGTTAGAAAAACAAATGATATGAAATAGTTATTACCATTTTTTTACGATGAGACTTTGGCTTCGTTTGAGGCAACTTTTTTAATGTTTTCTAAATTAGCTTTTCAGTACATATTTTTTTTTAGTTCAAAAAATTTTTGTACTAAAAAGTTATATTAGAAAACAATGAAAAAGACGTCTCAAACAAAGACTTTGTTTCGGGCAAATGCACCACAACTTCTGAATCCACACGCCTAAAATCACCAAATGAATTGAGAGGTTAAGGGAATATTAGAGTTGACTTCATCATAGGTCAAATCAGGGAGAGATTATTCTATGAGGACACAGGACACAACTTACTCTCCAGAGACAAATCAAGTGCAGCCACATCATCCAGTACCGAGCTTGGTACCAAGCAATATCAAGCCGAGGTACCGAGTAGGGGGTGATGTGATGCATTTTTATTGGGCTCTAGACGTCGTTAACACAAGCCTAAATTTGAAGTGGGGTCCAAATTATTTTTATGTGAATTTTGTTTAGAGTGTAGAATTATCCAAAAAAAACATGAACATTGCAATTATTACGTAGAATTTTGTGAGATATTTTTATAGGATTTTTTATTTTCCACAAAAGTGAGATGGTAGAGAAATTCAAAGGAACCATAATGGGCGAAAGAGAAAAAAAAATAAAAATAAAAAGGTTTCCAGCAGTAAAGCGGCAGCAAGAAAGAAATAAAGAAAGACAGGAAGAGGAGTTCTAGACCTGGAGACCGGCACGAGATGAACGCGAAATCGGCTTCTTTTTGTCCTTGTCCTTTGAAGCCGCCGTTGTCTTCGCAGCAACAAGCCCCTTACCACCCTTCCCCGCCATCTTCTTCTTCCTGTGGCCAAGAACGAACAGTCAATCCAACCCACGAAACCCAGAATCCCGAACCGCCCGATCTAAAGAAACCCTAGGTCTCAAACAAATTTGCTAAGAAAAGAAAATCCCTAAAAAATCCTAAAACTCGAACCAGAGACGCAAAGCTCGCGAGAGAAAGGGGAGGTGGATTTCACGCCGAGGAGGTCGAAGAGTAGAGAGAAAGAGAGAGATGCAAAATGTAGACGCCAAAGTGGCAAACAGATCTTTTTAAGAAATAAATTGGGGCAGGCAATACGGAGGATTTTCGACTTGATTGGCGGTTACTTTTTGCGTTGGCCAATAGAAATTTCAAAATTTCGGCAAAATTTACAAAATAGCCCTAACAATTAAATTAAAGTTGACATTTAGTTCATAAAAATGATCTCCAACAAAAACTAAGACTTATGCTGAAAAGTGAAAACCACAATATTGCATTTTAATCCAGCATGTTTATCCTACTAACAATCATAAAAATATAATAATAATAATAATAATAAATAAGCAAGTCATGTTATGTCAAGCTTTCTACACCAAATTTTATCACATACATCTTCCAAGATATTTATGTAAATGATTCAATTATGTAGAATCAATTTGTAAATTCTAGTCAAAATGAGTTGTTCATGCCCAATTGAAATGCATTCTTACCGAGCTTCTTGCACCAACAATTTAATATTTTTGCATTACTCAACAGAGCCCTGCATTGGGCACCCATACCCACACCCACCCACGTACCCACCCATACCCAATGGATATGGGTGGGTATGGGGTATACTCATAGACTTATGGGTGGGTATGGGTGGATACTCAATATGGTGGATAAACCCTCAAGGAGATCATCCAGCCCATCTTCGAGGAGAAGTTTGTGCTCTAGCCCATCCATGTAGTTGCGACGATGCTCGACCCGGTCATAAAGACGCGTTTTGTGTGGGTTGAACATCAATGCTGATCAGGTTGATGAGGCCAAGGAGAAGTTGAAGGCATACATGATCAAGTACGGCCATGGCCTTAACTCAATCATCGATGAAGATGACGATGGCATAAGGCCACCGCCGGTTAAGAAGGCATGGATAGACACCACCGCCTCCTACTCAGTTTACGATGACTTGCCTAAGATGATGATGAGCCTGAGATGGCCAACAACATTGCCCCTAACAACTTGCAAGTCAGAGCCAGCCTAGAGTTCACGGCCTAAATGGCGCATAGGGTTAGCCTGCAAGAACAGAAGATGTGCGACGACGATGACGGGGAATTTGACGTCCTGAAGTGGTGGGGGCTCATGGGCGTCATGATGTTCCCGATCATGGCACTCGTCATGCGCTCTGTTTTATGCATTACGGCCGCCAGCGCCATGTCTGAGAACAACTTTTCAAACGCCGGCAACACACTGACTAAGAAGCGCAATAGTCTAAGGCGCATTTTTATGAAAGTATTTTTATTCTGTTATTGTCTTCTACATTTCAATTATCTGCAGATTTCTTTTACGTCTAAGGCTGAACAACACATGGGTATGAGTGGGTACGTCATCCTGAAAAATATTATGAGTGGGGGTGAGTGGGCGAAGCCAGCCCGCACAAAGCATGGGTACCCAATGGGTACTCGACCAGGACCCTGTGTAGGACTCTGTTACTCAATAGTGCCCTAAAGAACCCTTTCGGTCGTCGTTAAAATCGATGCTTCAACATGCACTTTTACAACTCTTTTCCAACGGTTCTTAAACTATTGTGTAATATTTTTATAACAAACAATAATCACGGCAGTCTAAAAACTGTTTTAAAAAAACAGTAAGAAAAGTTGGCCCAAACAAAGCCCATGTTGAGCACTTGAGTTTATGGGGAACTTAACAAGTTATTCTTATTCGACTGACCGACTTAAAACTTCTAATCCTATTTCTCTTAATTGAACTCAAGAAATATTTGAGTGTACGTTTATAGTTTGTGTGCTATATTTTAAAACTTTATATATAATAATTAAATTTATAATCGGATTTATTAAAGTTTAATAATTATATGAAAGTTAATGTTCCATTCTTTCAATTTTTTTTTTCTTAGAAGAATAAGTATTTTAATTACTTTACTTGCATTCAATAATTGCAATTGCCCAAATTCTAAGAAAGAAATTTATTTTTCTAATTGTACATAAAAGTATGCATTTTCACAATCTTATTTTGCCGACCCTCAAAATAGAGATTGTTTCCGCCACTGTGTACATCATACTCTCATTCAATACAATTCGAATGATGACTTTTTCGCTTCGTTTGGAATAGCTTTTTTACTGTTTGCTTTTCAGACAACTATCACAATTTTTGTTTGGCAACTTTGTTTATTTATTTTAAAAAATATTTGTATTATAAACCTACTTTCAGTTTCAACAACCTTTAAAATTTATTTTTTCTGCCTTACCTTCACAATAATGCAGTAAAAAAATTATCACAAATGAAGCCCTTATTCTTTATTTGGGATTGCTTTTTTACTACTTCTTAAAACAATTTTTTAGTACAAAAGTTAATTTTTTTTACTAGAAAAAAACTACTTTAAGAAGCAATTTAAAAGCAGTCATTTGAGGCAGCTTTCTTGTTGCTTCTTAAAATAACTTTTAATTACAAAATTTTTTAATTTTTATATTAAAATTTTATTTTAAAAAGTAATTAAGAAGCCGTCTTAAACAAGGCCTTAATCATAATCCAGCATTCAAGTTGTTATTTATAAATTTTAATGATTTGAAATATTTTATAGGCAAATGAATTTAAGATATTGAAATATTAAATAAATAAATTAGGTGACATTGACTAATGATTGATGTATTTGGCTTTCTATCCTATAAAGTTTTTTTTTCTTCTTTTGAAGACTAATGTGCTATACATTCTAACACCCATATAAAATACTTTGCATTTGATACAAACCGAGAAGTTTTTAAAAAAAAAATCAAAATCAAACTCAGAGTAATCTTCTATATTTTATCCATAGAGCAAATTAATTGTAATTGTTAGTATATCAATGATTATGATATGGTTTGAACATACATGAGAAAAAATTATTATGTGTGGTCATCGGATGCTGTCAGAGGTGAATCAGGAAGCGTCATATCACCATTCTGCTGTATACCGGGTGATATGGCTCATCATGATTCACATCAGAATGATCCAATGACCGCACGTAATAATTTATCGAATATGAGACTCTTGATTGGACAAAAAATTCTCTACCAATTCATTAATGAATTTTGTTTCAAATCCATCAAAACTCAGTCAATTTAAGGATTAGTTTTGGACAATATTCTTAAGCTTAGTTTTTAAGATAATAATCATGATTTTTATTTGACTATTATTTTTTCGTTGTTTTCAAAAAATTTTGTATTAAGAAACTGCCTTCTACAACAATTGTAAAAAGTTGCTTTCCCTATACTAGGCTTTGTTTGGGACGACTTTCTTTCTGCTTCTTAAAGCAGTTTTTAGTACAAAAAATTTTAATTTTGTACTAAAAAATTGCTTTAAGAAGCAATAAGAAACGAAGCCTTAGTATTGCAAAATAGTAAGAAAGTCATCCTTAGCCTCATTTGGAACAGCTTTTGGCAAAGCGGTAAAAAGCTATATTCGATTTCTTTTCAAGTACAACATTACTTTCGTTTTGGTTGCAGGCAAACATCAGCTTAGGATTCAAGCCACATCCTTTTCACATCTTTGCACGCAATCGATCAATTCGAAGTTTCTATATATATTTTTTTGTATAAATAAAGAAAATAGTTAAATTTTAATATATTGATAATAATGGTTATTCATTTGCATTAAATATTGAGTTGGTATTGTTAATTCATTAATATATTTTACTCAATTTGATCTCATTATTTCATCTTTTTAAGAAATAATATTAGAGCTAATATTTTTTATTTATTGAGTTCTATAATTGCACAATTAAAAGATTAAAAATTGGTCAATTCATACCATTTCTAGTAAATTAAAAAGATTAAAAACGAATTTTGGCTTTTAGACTATGATGAGTGAAGCCAACAATCCTCCTACTCCTCCTTGGATGGCCTTGGTGGCAACCAAGGTTTTATCTGATGAGATCTTCCTTCTTCACGAGTATATGTTCTTTCACTGGAGGTCCTTGGGCGGACGCTCTTGCTTTCTGGTTGGCCTTGCAACCACTTGGGCTTGGGGTATTTTTTTCTTCAATAATATGAGGTTTATTTTTGACAAGTAACTCCGAGCTATATGATTGATCTGATTGTTAGTGTTTTGATCACTCGAGTCCTAGTCCCCTTTCACCCACCTTTTTTTTTGGTTTGGGTGTTTTTGATTGTGGTGTCCTTTTTTTCTTCATTCCTTCTTGTAATTGCTTTATAGTTGACTTTTCTTTTCAGTTCTATAATTTCTTTTTATTTATATAACGTGCTCTACCCAAAATTTTCCACAAACACACACAAAAATATAATTATAAGTCACATGCATCCATTAGATTCAGGTCATAGCTGCTACTTTATCAGTAGTCCTTACTTTAATTTTAGGATCTCATACAAGCTAATGTTATTCATAGTTATTTTACAAGTCTAACTTCTCTAGCATTTTCTAAACTTCGGAAAATCTCGTTTATGTAACAAATCTCAAGCAAGTACAAACATCCAATTTCATATTTCAAATGAATAATAAATAACTTAGAATACATTTATTGTTATTGAACTAAATTATTGAAAAAAAAAAATCCACACAAAGCTTATCTAGATCTCTAAGAAATTGTTTATCTAGATCTCTAAGAATATTATTGGAGAGGATGCTTCGAAGAGTGAAAGATTCGAGCTATACTATGTTTGAATGTTCTCATGAATATGAAGGATTGTCTCTCATATTTTTATATAAAAGAATTTTCACCTAAAAAAAATTGGAAAAATTTAAATAAGGCACTTGAAGAATAATTAAAAACTTAGGACACTAATTGAAGAGCCAAATGATCTATTAATCTTATACTTTTATAGTCAAAATGAATAGCTCAATGGGATGGATCCAACAAATTTAAGATCACATGATTTTGAGGCCATTAGAGCACTCACATGTTAAATAAATAGTTATGATCAAAAGATTTGATATAAGCCATTTAATGGAGAGTTATGAAAATTTGGCTAAATGTATCAAAATGTCCACTCTGAAAGTACTATAAATAGACCTACACTCTCCATATAAAAGAAACCTAGACTTTATAATGACTGAAACTCAGAAAAAAAAATATATTTTTAAATGAGTAAATATGAAAATGAGTGCAAGGTGCTTGGAAGCATTGGGATAGCGCCACTACGACACTTAGCTCTCTGAAATTTTTTAAAACAAATTAGGCGCAATAGTGTTGATTTAGCACTGCAGAGCAGTGCTCTTTCACATACAATGTTGTGACACTATATCTTGGGCTCTTCGATGCCATGCATTGAAATGTTTAATTTTTTTTTTAATATAAATATCCCCGCCGCCATCCCCCCTTCCATTTCATTTCATTCCTTGTTAGGGAAGGAGCCGAGGACAAGGAGAAAATAAGGGGACAGAGGGGAGAGGAGAGAGAAGAGAGAGAGAAGAGAGAGAAAGTCTTTTCAGGCCTTTTTTGTCCATCATTTTTACTATGAAAGTTATTCTAATCATAGTGACATTTACTCTGCATTTATTTTCAATGATTCTGAGTTCAATATATTTTCTCTCTACTAAAAATGATAAAAAAAGGTGATATTACTCATTTATAGAAACTTTTCCCTTTTGTAACTTTTGATATGTTATAGATATTATTATTGGGAGCAATTTGATTGGTTTATATTGAGTTTTTATTGGGTAGTTTGGCTTATATGATATTTTATATGAAATGAGTGTAAAATATTAATTTTAAAATGATTAGATACTACTATACTGAATCTGTGTATGAGATGTACAACATGCATATAATTATCATTCATTTGACATAATATGCATTTCAGGACAATACTTGCATATGAATAAGACACCTATTGGATTGTTTAAAGAAAATGATTCAATTGATATTGAAAGAAAGTGGCATTTGAATGTAAGCAAAAAAGATTGACTGTCAACATTATAATTAATACGGATTAGCTCTTAAAATATTAATATCCTATATAAGAGGACGGGCCGACAAACTTTCCTTAAAATAAATAGATTTATGATATAATCTTGGATGTCAGCTTATAATTGATTGATCGATTACACTTATGGGTAGAAAGTGATGACTCTTAATGATTTTGCTAAAAGACGCATGTGAAATGATTTAAGATTTATGAATGATGCTTACAGGATAAAGATTGAAGATCAACTAGTGAGCCATTGAGGGTTAACTAGTGAACAATTTGGGGTTAAAGATTTTGAAAATGCCATATTAAAGATAGATGTCCCATATTTCTAAACTCATATTAATATGCATATATATATATATGATAGCATACATAATTGCACATATGATATGATTGACATAGAAATGACATATATGATAATTAGATAGATTGCCTGATGATATACATGGTTGATAGATTGACATAATGGCTTGCAGTTAGACTGATATAGTACTGATATGAACATTTGATAGACGATAAGTAGATGACTGATATATATATATATATATATGTGATAAGACTGAGATGTATATGAAATACATGATATACGGGATACTGTTCATAATTACTCATGTTCTTACAGATATGTGATTAATATTTTTGATTGATGCATTGACTTCAATTAAAGATATTGGTTACTTGCTGGATAATGTGCTTACTATGTAATTTTTACTTATTTTCAAGTAAAGGTAAAAAGCCCGAGGAGTGACTTGGGTTACTAATATTCTTTTCCTTCTACATCTAATAGTTTTTCTTTTGTAGTCATGATGTTTTCATGTGATAGACTGGATCATTTTATATCATGGCTTATATATATATATATATATATTTGGACTTGTATCAATTGTAAATATTTGATGAATATAAATGCATTTATATTTTTCATCGCTTATATTTCACTGTTTATATGAAATTATAAAGTTTTGGTTTATGTTTAAATGATAGAAATATGCAATTCTTCCAAATTAGACCTTGAGGTGTCATAGGCTTGAAGTTAGAGAGAGCTTGGAAATCTGAAGAACTCTAGAGCTCAACTTGATGTTTGATGTCGAAGATAATTATCTGCCTATTATCATCTGATCATCATCTCTAAACGGTCATCATCTAATCGTCATAATCCATTCAGTGTCATCTAAATGTTATTACTGTTTGATTATCATCACTATGTCGAAGATCATTGTTTGCCTCATCTCATCTTCCCTATTAGTAAAGGCCAAATGAACTTGATCCGATGCAGATGCTCCCTCGAACCCCACTTCCTCTGACTCCGCCAAGTGATGCCGCGTACTTGGAAGCGGGTTGTGATCATGGTCACGATGGCGGTAGTTGACCTCCTCCGGCTTCCATCTGAAGAGTCAGAAAGTGTAGTTGGAGCAGAGATTGACAAGGGGTATGCGGAGCTCTCCGGCGCCAGAAGGCCATGAGGGGGATGAGTTGAGGAAGAGGAACCAATGAAGTTGTCATTGGCGGAGTCTGGTGGGGAATAGATGCCGAGCCAGTCGAGGGATGAGGGAGATGGTATGTCAGACCACTGAATGTGGACGCTGTGGTTGTATTTGGTTAGGGTTTTTGGGGAGACGGTGATGGAGATGGTGGCATTGATTGGGGGGGGGGAGATGGAGATGAAATAAGGCACTTGAAGAATAATTAAAAACTTATTAATCTTATACTTTTATAGTCAAAATGAATAGCTCAATGGGATGAATCCAGCAAGTTTAAGATCGCTTGATTTTGAGGTCATTAGAGCACTCACATGTTAAATAAATAGTTATGATCAAAAGATTTGATATAAGCCATTTAATGGAGAGTTATGAAAATTTGGCTAGATGTATCAAAATGTCCACTCTGAAAGTACTATAAATAGACCTACATTCTCCATATAAAAGAAACCTAGACTTTATAATGACTGAAACTCAGAAAAAAAAAATATATTTTAAATGAGTAAATATGAAAATATGTATGTGAGTGCAGGGTGGTTGGAAGCACTGGGATAGCGCCACTACGACACTTAGCTCTCTGAAATTTTTTAAAACAAATTAGGCGCAGTAGTGTTGATTTAGCGCTGCAGAGCAGTGCTCTTTCACATACAATGTTGTGACACTGTATCTTGGGCTCTTCAATGCCATGCATTGAAATGATTTCACTACAGGAAAACCCCATATTACCGGCGAACGAAATCCGTCGGAAAACATAGATATTCCGATGGAACTATGAGTTTCCAGAGCACGTTCCGGCGGATATTCATACGCCGGTTTTGGTCGCGTCGATAAATCCATACCCAAAATGGTTTCTTCCGAAACTCTGATCTTAACGCTTGCGACCATGTTCTTCATCTCCATCTTCTTCTCCCCCACCGCTGCCACCATCTCCCTCACCGTCTCCCCAAAAACCCTAACCAAATCCAACCACAGCGTCCGCATCCAGTGGTCCGGCATACCATCTCCCTCATCCCTCGACTGGCTCGGCATCTATTCCCCACCGGAATCCGCCAACGAGAACTTCATTGGTTATCTCTTCCTCAACTCATCCCCCTCATGGCCTTCTGGCGCCGGAGAGCTCCGCATACCCCTTGTCAATCTCCGCTCCAACTACACTTTCCGACTCTTCAGATGGAAGCCGGAGGAGGTCAACTACCGCCATCGTGACCATGATCACAACCCGCTTCCGGGTACGCGGCATCGCTTGGCGGAGTCGGAGGAAGTGGGGTTCGAGGGAGCATCTGCGCCGGATCAAGTTCATTTGGCATTTACTGATAGGGATGATGAGATGAGGGTGATGTTTCTGACCGGGGGTGGAAATGAAGAGTTTGTGAGATATGGATTGGAGGGGAAGATGGATAACATCGTTGGGACGAAGGTCACGAAGTACGAGAGAAAGGATATGTGCGATTTTCCGGCGAATTCGAGCTTGGGGTGGAGGGATCCGGGGTTTATTCATGATGGGGTTATGACGAATTTGGAGAAGGGGAAGAAGTACTATTACAGGGTAAGTTTTGTTATTATTATTATTTTTTATTTTGGTTCTTTGATGAGATTCATCTGTGCCGTGGCCGTGGATCGATAAGAAACAACCTTTTTATAAGAGGTGCTTAATCTGATATCGCGCTAAATTTTCTCTGAAGTAACTTATATATTTACTGCATTCGTATACTATAGTGAAATGTCCTTCAGGCTCCGAACTTGGGAAGTTGCTATAATTTCCTGTGACGAGGTACTATGATTGCTTCTATAGCCACTGAAAATTTGGAAATTTTAAATTGCTTAAAACATTGACAAAGTTCCTGCACACTTTGTTTTTGCGCAAGATTGTTGTGTTAGCTCGTTATCTTGGATTGTTACGCTTATCCTTGTTTCTGATATATAGGCCTTTCTGTCAGTTAGTTTCTTATTAAATAGCTCTGGAACAATCATGTGTAAGTGATTGCTAATGTCATAAAATGCGTGGTTTTCATAGTTATGGCCTCATTTTCCTTTAGTGCATATTCATCCTTTGGTTATTGCATTTCTGGCTAAAATTTCAAATTTCTGATTTTTCTGTGAAAATTTATACATCATAACGTGCTTATCGAAATGAGCTCTTCATTTATCTTTCGGTGAGCGTGTACCCTTCAATTATCACATCATAGTGAAACGTTGTTTCTCTGCATTTTCCTTTATGTGTTCATCATTCTCTTGGAGTACAATGTTGCTTTTTTCACTTTTGATTATTTTTTAATTAGATTTAGATGTTATTGTTTATGAGCTTATGCAAATTTTCTTGTTTTCCTGGGCTTATCCTTTTTTTATCCGTATTTTTATGCCTCCATTTACAACTGACGCGTCTGTGAATGTGGTTTTATTACATTCTCCACAAAAAAAAAAAGATTCAGATTCACTCCATTTACCATGGTAATTGCATGGTGCGATTTCTCCTCTTGTTAGTCGTGTAATTCATTCGGGGCAGCTTGTATTGATTCCATTATACTTTTTTTTTTAACAATTTGTTTTTGTGGAATCGGTCCCAACCATACAAGGATGACTAAGTGAATCAAGCAATTGCCATGGTAACTAGAGAAAATCCAAATCCTTTAAACCCCCTTTTGAATACGCCAATTGCTCGAGTGCCTAAATTGTCGCTTGTTGCCACCTCTTGGTTTCATTTTGTGGTACAATTTATTTGGAAATTATTAAACTTAAAGTTGATTCCTACTATTGTAGCGCAGGAAGAATTGGAACATGTTTGTTACTTGATTTTAAAGAAATTTGAGGATATTTTTATTTTGGTTATTTCATGGTCTATAAATCGAAGCTCAGAGTCATGTAAAAATTAATTAATATTAAGTAGTAGAATAAAATTCTAATTTTCTTCAATTCTTGTGTGTTTGTAATGCTGGATGTGTATTTTTTGAATGTGTTGTAGGTCTTGAAGACTACATCCAAGGGTTGAGTTTTCGTTTATCTGTGTGAGACCGAAAACTTCAATTTGATGTGTATATGATTGAAATTTTACTAAGTGCGATACATGAAATTTTATTGCTGTGTGATTTGTTATTTTTGTTGAATTTTTTTTTAAATTTTAGATTTTGACGACTATCACATAAATATTTGGAATAAAAAAAATTGTTTTTGGTTTTTACATTATAAGTGAGTAATTTTTGCTAAAGGGCTTTTAACCCGTGGATTATAATTTTGGTGTGTTTTTATTGTGTATCTCATCTTAAGTTCCAATAGTAAACCCTAAACTGGTTTGCATTATCAAGAAATCTCAAAAAAATTATTAAAATTAGGTTTTTTAAGGAGCTATGCAATTGTAAGACTCCTTAATTTCAATAAAAAATGCGATCAACAATTTTTTTCATTTAATTTTCTAAATGTTAAGATATTTTCTAATTTGTGCCGTTATAGTACTAAAACCCTTAATGAACCATCCATTTAAAGTAGCCAAATTATATAAATTTAAATGTTATGAGTATTAGTTCTAGTTATTACTCACTTTACCTTTATCATGATCATGCAATCAATTAGTAAACATAATAAGATCCAAAAAAGATCACAGAAGATGGTATAATACATCACTTCTTTAGATTTAGATAATAAATTGTTAAATAAAATGCCACAAAATATGTTGCAGAACTATTCTTCTGTCATTATTCTTGAACATATAAGTTTGGGATCTCCCAATGTAACATCCGAATCATATAATCATGAACTTCCGAGAATAACATTTGCGATATCCATAGGTAAAACATCACATCAAATTTTATTTATATAGGTAGTAAGTTGAATAGGAACTAAATATATTTGTGATGAGGACATCCGACCGTGGAAAGTTTATCAGAGGAAGGGTCGAAGATCTACGGTTAGGATCAGATTGTTCTATTTATGAGAAATTATTTGTATTTGATTTATTATGTATAATTTTTCATTTTTACCCTCACTTGAGTGAGTAGGTTTATGTGACCCCAGGGGGCACTTTTGTCATTTGATGTTTTATTGTATTTTGTATATTTATATACCTCACATCCCTCTTGGGAAGGATGATGATTATGATGAATGAAAATTTCTCTACTTTATGTTTTGGTGCGTTTGAGAGTTTTTGTGAGAGCGCACGTGAAGTCCCTAGGTGAGGGCAAAGCAAGACCCGTCAGCTGCAGCGTCTGGGATCACGGTTTATCGACACCTCTATTCCTCATCAAGCTTGACATCCTCACATCCAATCATAGCCGAATCATCACCCATAAATCTCCTTGGCCAATCCACCATAACCCCTTCCTCTCTTCCTTCTAATTGCCGCCTTCCCCCCACCTTTGCTCATGGCCTAAATTTTCATGACTTCTTCTCCCTACTTTTCTTTCTCCAAATTGATCCTCCAATATTTCCTAAATTAATCTAGCACTAATTTGAGAAATCTTAATTTAAGAATTATCCTTGAGCCTTCAATCCCTTTCCTAAATTGTTGGATTATTTTTGGAAAGGTATCCACATCAATAAATTTGAAATTTAAATGAAGAATCCTCATTAATTCTCCTTCCTAAATTGGCCTAGGTTAATTTTTGGAAATTTGAATTCAAAATTTGAATTCTCCTTGAGCCTTGAGTTCCTTTCCTAAATTGTTGGATCTTTTTTGGAAATATATCCCCATTCATAAATCTAAAATTTAACTGAAGAATCCTCATTAATTCTCCTTCATAAATTAGCCTAGCATAATTTTGAAAACCTGAATTCAAATTTGAATTCTCCTAAAAGCTTTTAATTCTTTTCCTAAATTATTGGGCTATATTTGAAGGATATCCCTATCCACAAATCTGATTATTGATTGAAAATCTAAATTAAATCCTATTTCCTTAGCCAATATGTTGAAATTGGCAACCCAATTAAAGCCCTAAATCAGCCCCAATTAATTGATTGGGCCGACCCCCTCCCCTCATTGAGCTTTACCATAATTATACAAAACTTCTAGACATAAATATTGGTTCCAGGTTTCTGCTATTTGTTGTCCCGCTGTTTCGGGTGCCATCTAATGATAATGGCTGCTACTTTCCTACTGTCAATTGCTTGCTATTTCTCTCCCAAGCCATCTCAAGGTCAGCTACCTGCTGGTGATACACAGATTCAACCTTTTTCCAAGTTCAATACCTGTTGTTCCTGATTTCGGCAACCACACAACTGCTGTTCAAATTTCCAGGGACGATAGAACACTGCCTAAGAGTGTGAAAGGGATTCGTTGTGTTGTCCTTCCCACCGATACATCCAATTGACTTCATCATGGCTTAGTATCTTCGCCTTTGCAGGTAAACTCTTTCCCCCCTTGCACCTTTTGATCCCTCCTCAATCGTGGCATCGTTTTATTGTGAAAACTTATCCACGTAGCCCATACCAAGAGTGTCGTGTGAGTGGGTCGTTATAGTGACTAATCTATTTGTTAATTTGTGGATTGTTTCTGAAACATCACATGAGCATGATATTAATTTATTTGATTATCTATTGGTCCTCTTATTAGCTTGTGATTGATTGCTTAAACTTGATTACCCTCTTGCTTGATGAAGTCATTGCTTAAGTTCAGGGTGAATTAATAATTTGTTAAGCTTTGTAAAAGTACGAGGAATTTCCAATTCAATGCCACCTGCATATCTAGTTCTAAATCAGTTTGTTTCATAGGAATAATAGTTTTAGTTGACCAAACTATATTTTATTATCGTGGATATGGTTCAGGTTTCAAATTGATTGGATTAATAGCAGATTTAACCACTACATTCATGCAGCTCCCATTATTTATAATGAATTTGCAAAAAAAAAAAATCATGTTTGAAAAATGAGTTAGGGAGATGGAGGTTTTTTCCCAATCAGATTCAACTTTAGGTGTAGTTATGACGTATCAGACAACATTCAAATAGTTGTCAATCATAGTATCATCAAAATCACTAATCTTTTCATTGAGCTTATGCACATAATAATCCTCATTAATTTCAACATTATCCTCCCCATTAATTTGCAAATTCTTACTAGAACACTCATCATTATAATGATTAGTTTGATGATATTTGAAAAAAAGCTTTGCCAAAGTTCCTTTAAAGTTTAAATATTGAGGCATTAGCAACAAACTTCCCTTTAATATCCTTATATACAATGGTGTTACTACCCTTAAATGCAAAGGTGCAAGAAATTAAATTTGACTATTTAGTGAAGAAGTATGATGTATTGAAAGGTATAGTTGATCTCCAAAATATTATAGAAGTCAGGAAGTGAAAGGACTACTATATTGATAGTTGATCAGGCATATGCATCCACCAATCACGAATTCATGTGTCGATAACGGCCTATAGCCTATCAACTATGTGTTTCGCCCAAAATCGATTAATTAGCCAACTTCAACAACAAGTGAATCTAAAGGTTCAAGTTAATGAAAGCGATGGTGATCTCCCAGGAGGTATGGATATTCACATTAGAGCAAGATGAAGCTCCATGTAAGATGCCAAACTAGGCAATACACAAAAGAGTGTAGTTGGTTTACATGCTACATGAAGCAATTCTTTTGATAATACTCAAAAGATTGATAATGATGTGCAACTTGGCACATTTGGTTTGTCTTACATCACTAATAAATCAAAGAAAAAGATGCAAGGTTGCCATTATATGTTTGCATGTGCTTGTTTGTGCTTTCCTCTTAACATAGGAAGATTATGTTGCAAGACATAGGACCTGAAAGTTTCAAAAATCCCATAAATCTTATAATTTTTAGCATCTATATTTACAATTGGTGGCATGTAGATGCGCATAGGAGCACTCAACATATCTTTGGGAAGCCACAGAACCCCAAATTGTGACAAAATGACCAAAATTGAGTAGGCCCGAGTGCGGATGCGCGTGCATATGCATGGAGGTGCAAACCCATACTCCCACATGCACCCCTGAATGTGATGCGGTGTCTTCTCTCTTTTAACATCCGATCTTAGATCTACATACAGTGCTTTAGAAAACATCAATGTTTTCTAGCAATAATTCTTCAAAATTTTTCATTTACTCATTTATAAATTTTGTCCATCATTTTAAAGAATTAAACCAACAAATAAATGATCATGATATGACAAAAAAACATATTTCTATTTTAATAGTTCTTTCATTTCAGCCCAAGTAGTTGTAGATTTTATTTTGAATATTTTTCTATTTTCTCTATACACTTCTAATATATTTTAGCTTGCTCAGTTAATTTTAGTTTTGCTAATTTCACTTTTCACTTACTAGATATTATTTGCCCTATTACCTAGTCAGAAAAAAATTCTTTAGATCAAATTTCCCATAAAAAACAGGTCAATTCTAACCTCTTGATTATTTCATCATCTTATTTGCATGGAAGGGAAGTACCCTCGTTCCTTATTAGCGATGATATCATTAACTATGCTTAGTTCCTCAATGAAGCTGCTGGTTAATTGTCAACTATATGCTATTTTTATGACCCTGAAGACAAATTTCTTTTCAATGTTGATTTTAAACTTGTACAGGTTGGCAGTGATGCTAGAGGATGGACTGAAACTTTCAGTTTCATATCTCGTGACAATGAAGCAAATGAGACAATTGCATATCTTTTTGGGGACATGGGCACATCTGTTCCCTATTCAACTTTTTATCGCACACAAGAGGAGAGCAAGTCAACTGTGAAGTGGATTCTTCGAGATCTTGAAGGCCTTGGTGATAAGCCAGCATTCATTTCACATATTGGAGACATCAGCTATGCTAGGGGATTCTCCTGGATTTGGGATGAATTTTTCAGTCTTATAGAACCCATTGCTTCAAGGGTCCCTTACCATGTTTGCATTGGTAATCACGAATATGACTGGCCATTACAGCCTTGGAGACCATCATGGTCTTGGGGTCTTTATGGAACAGATGGTGGAGGAGAATGTGGTGTTCCATATAGCCTAAAATTTAAAATGCCTGGAAAGTCCTCCTTTCCCACTGGAACAGGAGCTCCAGATACTCAGAATCTGTACTATTCATTTGACGCTGGAGTTGTGCATTTCCTCTATATTTCAACAGAAACTGATTTTCTTCGCGGTAGTGATCAGTACAATTTTATCAAAGCTGATTTGGAGAGTGTCAACAGAGATAGAACACCATTTGTTGTTGTCCAAGGCCATCGTCCCATGTACACAACAAGTGATGAAGAAAGGGATACACCACTGAGGGAGAGGATGTTGGAGAACCTGGAGCCTCTTTTGGTAGAAAACAATGTAACCCTTGCTCTATGGGGCCATGTTCATAGATATGAAAGGTTCTGCCCCTTGAGAAACTACAGCTGTGTGGATATAGCTTCAGACTCCTTACCCATGGCTGCAACAGTACATGTGGTAATAGGAATGGCAGGGCAGGATTGGCAAGCGAGCTGGAAACCAAGGTCAGATCACAGAGATGTCCCGATCTATCCACAGCCAAAGCAATCAATGTATCGTGGGGGTGAATTTGGATACACAAAACTTGTTGCTACAAGAGAGAAACTAACGCTAACCTACTTTGGAAATCATGATGGTGACATGCATGACATTGTGGAGATACAATCAGGCCAAATTCCTAAAATTAGCGCTGGTGAGGTTAGAGCTGTGAGCGAGCTTAAATTCTCCTGGTATATGCAGGGAGCAGGTATTTTGATACTTGGGGCCTTTATTGGCTATGTTCTTGGGTTTTTAATTCGCTGCAAAAGGGATGCTGCACAGAGGAATACTTGGACTCCTGTGAAGAGTGAAGAAACATGAAACAATCGTCTTGTAGCTAGCTCATCAGTGTACAGATTGCATGATTTCAGAAAAAAATGATGAATTTCAGGAGTTTATTTGGCGAGGATTGTGTTTAGTACTATGTGTGCCAGCCATGGAACAAACCTAGAAGTTTTCCATCATATTTGTGTTTCCAAGGTGATCCTCTTATATATTTCTGCTATTTCTTAGCAAGCTGTTGTGACTATCCGGATGACTAGATATCTAATGAAGTTCTATGGTTGTGCCTCTAAGTGACAACATGTATTGGTTAGTTCTTGTACAGAAAGGAGTGAAAGATATGGTATGTTGGTTTATACATGTTGCCCAATATTTTCTGTTTATATAATGAAGTTATATTGCCAAGGGCCAGCTTAGTTACCTGTATCTTTCAGGCTTTATAATTGTGTACTTCTATATTATGCCAATAATACGTATACCTTTCAGAGTTCTTACTCAGTCAAGAAATAAATTGCTCGCTTATTGACAATGTCATAATCTCCAGACGCTAATTAAGCTAATCATATTGTGAATCTCTTGCTTGTTTGTGGTATAGTTTATCTCAAAGGGAATATATTTATACTTATTTTGTCTTAAATGTCTTTGACTTGACGTTTCCTTTAAATGGAGTAGAACAGGTTGTTTAAGTGGACCATAACTGGCTGTTTTCTTCATGTGTAGTATATTTTGTTCCTCGTGCTTCCCAATGCCAATATCCTGTTTTTTTCTGCAAGCGCCAACTTTCTTTGATAAGAGTTTTTCTAGGGTAGGTGTGACACTTATCTAGATGTGACTAGTCGAGTCCTTATTTTCCTACCAATCTACATTAATTTCTTTTCACAGAGATCTGAGGAAATTGAAAGAGTAGAAAAGAAATGGGGATAAAATGTTAGTCTAGGGCTTAGGAAAACTTTGTTAAGGATGTAGAACCCAGATGGGTGATGCAGTGTTGATTTAATTGTTTTAATTTGTTTACTTTTAACTGTTAAAGAAGATCCCAATGACTAAACAGCATTATCTTTTTTTGAGTTTTTATAGCAGGGGTTTGCTTGATTGATACTTTTCTCCTAATCACTTAGCTGGGTATGACTCAGTACTATTCTAGGGCTGCCTTTCTATGAAATGTAGTATTCTATGGTCATGACATAAACATGGGATGATATAATTGTTACATGTTAGAAAATTTGAGTTGGTAGAGTCTATTTTATGTCTCAGTATCGTACAAAACTCAGCACGCACAAATAAAGTCATAAGATAAGAAATTTTTCATATGAAAAATCTCGAAAAGGAAAAGAATCATGCGGTTTGGCAGAGTTAAAAAATTCACTATATAGTAGGTGATATAAGAATCATCCATTCCTCACAATTAAAGAAGAGTGGATTATTTGAAAACAAATATTTGATTTTTTTCCTGAGAGATTACAGAAACAAAGTGTCACTGATGAACAGTTAACAGGGCTTGATTTCCCCTATAGGAATTTGTTACGCCGGCCCATCCTGGGCCGGCTGGACCGGTCCACCCTGGACCGGTCAGGGCTTACTCCCGGCGGAAGAAACTCAGCCAGGAGCTGGGCGGAAACCCCTAGGGGGGCCCACTTGTTGTATTTTGAGTTTTGGGAGGGAATTTTTGAATGAGAAGGGTAATTAGGTAAATTGTAATCCTCCTTTCATGTTTAATTAGGAGGAATAGGGGGAAGAGAGGGTTATCTTGAATTTGAATCATTTTTGAGATCTAGGGTTTGTGTTCTTGGGCTCTAGGCTACGGCTAGAGATTTGGAGAGTTTTTCCTTCCTCTCGAATTGAAGGAAAGTTGTATCTTGCAAGTGCTTTTCATTTCTCATTAAATAAAAGTGTTTGCTTCGTTTCTCTTACGTTTTCTCCTTCGTTTTCTCTCCGAATCCACTGTTTTTTGGCTGTTTTCCTGTGTGGACAGCAGATTTCATCCTAGATCTACTTGGTTCTTGGTGTGAAACACTTGGAAATCCAAGTGTTTCCTATCAGAATTATAGAAGTCTGATGTCAATATGCGGACGGTCAATACCCAACAATAAGATTAAATCTAAATAAAGTCTGGTGGTGGTGGTCGTCAATGACAATAGTGGTCATCAGTAGTAATAGTTGGTGGTAGTATTCGACAGCGATAACTGTAAAATGCAAGAGAGCTCTCTAGTTCTCTCCTTTTTTCTCCCTTTAATGTGGAGGATGAGGTTTTATTTATAGGTTTTTTGGGATTAGTATTTTTGTAATTTGAACTATAATCCAAAACACTCCATCGTACGGTTTATATTGATTTTCTTGATCATGAAGCTTTTTTTCAGCATTTAAGGGTCTTAATGATGTCATAATTGAGTGATCTTGAACTTGTTGGATTTGTCTCATCGAGTTGCTCGATTCGATTATAAGCATATAAAATTTGGAGTTCAGATGATCATTATTTTAATTTAAAAATTTCTAATTCAAATATTACCTGGAGATTCGTACTGATCATATGAATTTTTTGAAATGTTATCAATAATATTAATGATAAATGATTATGACCAATAATAATAATAACAATAATAATGTTCATAATAGTAATAATCATAATGATTAAGTATTACATGAATATTTTAATAACTCTTAAAAAAATAAGAGCTGCTGTCATATTTTGCTGAAGAGCAATAGTACAGGTGACACTGGGGAAAGGGAAAGACTTTGATTTCCTTAAAAAAAAAAATCAACATGCTAAAATACTCAGTTGTCTTTGTCATAGTAATCCATATTGGACACCTGTCGGTGTTGTGTTGGATATTGCGTGCTTCCAATATTTGAACTGTCCACCCACTTCCTATAGAATTTTGTAACATGTTAATTGAATCTTAGAAGATTTTGGCTACTGCAATAATGTATAGTCTAATTACTAGCATCAGCCGAAAGATTATTTTTTACATGAACAAATCACTGTTTTTTATTTTTTGCGCATTGTATTTGTGGCTATTTTTTTTTTGGCTTTATCGATTCTCATTTCCAGCTTCATTAAGGATCATTATGGCAAATAGTCCCGATTGGAGGGGGCAATCAAAAGGATTTTTTTGTCATAAACTAAACTTTTCTTCAAAAAAATATATTCAAATTTAATTCTTTGCTCAATGCCATAGACTTGTGTGTGGATTTAACAGGTGCAATGCCAAGTTCATAAGCTTATATTGCAGCTAGAAAGCACGGCTGCACCACTGTAGGTTGCTCTAGAACAGAGACTCACTTGAGGCCAAATTTACCGCAATCGTGGGAAACATATGTGCAGTTCACTTGGGTAAGATGTGAGATCGGGCTCGGAAGGCTGTACAGGGCTCAGAATCGAAGATGGTGCGAGAGTTCGAATGCGACAGGTGGAGCGGCAGCGTAATAATTCAAATATGTGAAATAAATGTATTTGAAAAACAAGAAAATTTTGAAGTAAAATGCTTTGGTGCTGATATGTTGTTAGTTCATGAACTATATATATATATATATAATAAAATAATAATAATAATAATAATAATAAATTTATTTGAAAAACATGAAAATTTTAGTCCACCGACTTCCTCACTTGATTGTTTGGTCATGACTCATGAAGAAATTAAAAGAGAGGAAGAAGAGAGAAGAAAGAGAAAGATCTTTGGATTATATTTGTTAGTCATTCCTGTTACAAATTTTGTTCTATTCGTTGTAAGTGACTAATCACTTTTTTCTATTTTCAAGGGTTTTGATTTCTACAATTTTTTTTTCTCCTAAATCTATACAAAATATATTATATCTTAATTTCATTAGTTTTAACCATGCAATTTTGGATATGTTATAGATTTAATTATTATGAATGATTTGAAATGATTTTATTGCATTTTAGATGAAGTACTGAATGAAATCAGATACATAATATAATAATCTCACGTGATACCATATTGATCCACATGATTCACTGATTAGAAGTTATAAGGAGCTGGAGATTAATTGGGAGTTGTAAGGAGCCGAGGGGACTGATTCATGTGATTCAAAGAGAGTTATAAAGATAACATTGATTGGAAGTTATAAGAGATGACTGATTGGGAGTCATAAGTGCATGAACAAGATACTTTTAAGATACACTCATTTAATATCTGAATACTGATACCGACACTGCTACAAACATTGTACTGATATTGTGACTCACTAATACTATTTACTGTCATTAATACTATTTAACGTTATTGATCATAATAATATTGTTAGTAGCATTAGTACTGTTGACTGTTATTAATATTATGACTAATAATGTAATGGGATAAACTATAAAAGGATAAATTGATACAGATAATCAGTATAGATATTGATGCATATATTTCCTTATATAATTTATGGCATATTGTTCTATTTTATCTTGCATTGATTTAAGTTGTAAGATTTTATTTACTTATTGAACTATGTGCTCCTTACGTGGTTTTACATATTTTAAGAAAATGTTAAGGATCCGATGATATGAGGTTTCGGATAAGACAAAAATGTAATCATTTTTTTTCCGTAGTTGATTAGTAAGCTCTAGTTAAATGGTTAAAATAGAAGAGAGATATAATTCTTCTAGCATAGATCTTAGAGTGTGACAGGAAAGCGCTGCCTGGTACTGCGTGAGTTAGAGTAGTAGTTGTAGCCTAGTGCTGGGATAGGGAGGCATGGGTTGACTAGGCTGCACAATACGGGCTTGTGAACAGGCTTAGGCGCACGAGATTAAAGGTCCAAGAGTCGCACGTGATGCACAAGGGTTCGCGTGTAGCTCAGGCTTGCCTACGATTTGCACGTGCATGCAAGAGCAAAACAAGAACGGGGGGCTTGATGTGCAGGAGTTCAAAAGCACTGGATCTCGGGGCGGCAAGATTAAGAGCCTCGGAGTAGATCACATGGGAGGTAGCCGCACGCATGAGTGCGCAAAAAGTAGGCACCATACTCGAGATTTGATGGGTGGCTCGTCTGAAGTCGCAGGACAATGCGCACAGGTGCTCGGGGAAGACGGGCGAGCCGAAGGGTGCTCAGTGCTGGAGTATGGTTGTGCCGCATGAGAGCAGACGATACACAAGGCACGAGCATGTGGATTGCAGGAGGAACAATGACAAACACAGGAGCGTATGGTTTAGTATGCGCTGGAGCGTGAGGTTGAGCTATGGATTGGAACGCACAATGGAGGCTGGACTCGAGAGGGATTGCTCTACGGGTTTGCTCGTGGAGTTAGTGCGGGGAACTGATCATATCACAGCAGGCATGGATTCTTGCGAACATATGGTTCTTTGATATTCATTATAAAATTTGGACCAAGGTGGAGATTGTTAGGATTTGTTCAATTTTAGTTGTATTTATTTGCAAGAAATCACACAAATATAAATACCTATATATAGATGCTATAGGTTGATGTGGGTGGTATCCTTTTGTAGCCCATTTAAGAGGAATAAAGAAAATTCCCTTTTAGCTCTCTCCCCCTCTCTACCCTCTCACTTCCAAAAAGCTCATCTTCCTCCTCCCAAGATTTCATAACAGAGCTTTGCTGGGCTTTTGTTATGCTAAGGCAGGTTTAACCCTTTCATGAATAGGGCTTGCTTTTGTAAATGGATGGTTGAACATTGAATATCACTGAATGAAATATCTCATTGAATGCGAACTCTATCTGGTTCCAAGTGTGAATCTTGAAGGGGAAACTGTGTAACATGCCCCATGGATTCGTATCTTATTCATTTTTTATTTATTTCTATGAATTTTCCCTTCTATACCCTTTTTCTGATTTATCTTGTTATTGGTTGAAAGTGTTTGATTTATTTTAATCAAACAAGCTACGACTGGTATTTCTCTTATTTTTTAAATCATTAATACCTGCTGTACTTTCATAATTTTTTCTCTTATAGTGGATCTTCTATTAGAAGAAATCCATAATCTATTTCACAAACCTTAACTCATCTTCATATCTAATAATTCTATGCTAGATGATTTTCTTCCAAACAATCTTTGTATTCTTTATTGGGTTGTTTTGTCTATGTATTATAGCTTAGTATGATTGAAGTAGATAGCTAAACCATTCCTTTAGATATTCGAAGCAAAATTCTAGTGCATTTGAAATACTCTCCAAGTGCTTTATTAGTTTATTTCCTTGATGAGCGAATGTAAATTGGATTTGAAATTTATTATAGGCTTCGTTTGGGATGGCTTTCTTACTACTTCTTAAGCAATTTTTTAGAAAAAAAAATTTAATTTTTGTATTGAAAAACTGCTTAACAAGTAGTAAGAAAGCCGTTCCAAACGAAATCATAATCTCCTTTTTCAATAGGAAATAAAGCAATTTTCATCAGCATAAGTGATTTAATTTCACCTGGACTAGTCTCACTCGAAGAAATCAATAGGAATCTATCTCTAGTAGGCACTATATTAGTAGATGCACCAAAAAAAGGCTCGGATAGGAAAGGACGTATAATATGAAAATAAGAGAGAAAAGTCATTTACTAAGAGTTAGGCTTGAGAGAGGAAGAAAGAGATGACTAGTCAGAGTCCATCAAGAGAAATTATTAGGATAAATACCTTTGATTCAATTCATTCTACAATAATTAGATAAAAAGCCTTGAATCCTAATTTATAAAAAGAGGATTATAAACATAAAATCAACTATTTGACTTCAAATCTAATCCTATTTAAATTAAGGCTTCGTTTGGATTTTTTTTTTGTTGCTTTCTAAAACAACTCAGTATAAAAATTTTGTGAATTAGAATTTTTTTTTGTTAGAAAGGTGTTTTAAAAAACAACAAAAAACTGTTCCAAACAAAGCCTAAAACTACTCTTAAATAATTAAAATTCAAATCCAGCTTTATCAACAAAGGATAATTTAGTCTAATGAAATAAATAATCTTAACTTATAACTTAAATAAAAAAAATAAATAATAATACAAATAAGCTAAAACTTAATTATCTGAACTACATCATTAGTTCATATTATTAACCAACCTTACAGATCCTCAGAACATTTGTGGAGCATGTTAATGATATTTTTTTTAAGTGATATGACTTAACATTGCCTCTAGAATCTGAATGATCTATTGTTTTTTATATGCTCTGCTCATCTACAGGAAGAATATGCTTCCAAAATACAAGTCACTTTACCTATTCAAAAGACTAGTTGGCTGCTGGGAGAGGTGGGGTAAAGATAAGATGGCTGATACTGGGTTGTCATTCTAAGAGTCTCCTGGTGCACACAAATGCTTCCAAGATTTGAATGCTCCAATACTCCTGAAGATTAATTATTCTATGCAAACGCCGAACATCATTCGGAAATCAATCAGAATGCGCCACATCATCCATGTGTTCAATACCGCAGTTCAATACTGCTCGGTACCACAGCTCAGTACCGCTGATGTGACACATTCTGGTTGATCTCCGGACATCATTTTACATCTGGTCTCCGCACAAAATAATTTCTCCCCCTTCAGAGGTTTAAGTCTCTCAATTTCTTACTCTCCATTTCCAAAAGCAAGAGGTTCAGATTCTCCACTGATTTCAGCATTTTTCATGGTCTGTTACTGTTTCAGAATCAATTAAGATGTAGATTTTAGTGATTACATTTATAGTCTGAAGGTTCAAGCATATAAAGATTATCACTCATAAGATGATATGTTTAAAAGGAATCCGAAATGGTTGAAATGGATCAGTTTCCATCAAAACTCAAAGCCTTGTTTGATTGCTTTGCAGTTTTATTTATTTGAATTGAATTTTTAAGAGTGTGTTTTAACTTTCATGAATATGAAGATGATGCTAATGATGGGCCTTCAAATAGAGAAATTATTTTGTGAGGACGCCAGACGCAACTCTATGTCCGAATACCTGGCAGTGCCGAGCGTCGGTACCGAGCATTCCCGAGCCGCGGTACAATAAAAAGGTGATGTGGTGCATTTTTATTGATCTTTGAACATTGGTCGGTGTCTGCACAAAATAATTTTTCCTTCACAAGTTTTTAGTGTGACCATGGGATAGGAGTCAGAATATCATCATATAATCTTATTTCATACTAAAAAAATGTTATCATTCGTTATCAGACAACAATCACAACACAACAAGATCATCACATTCGAAGCCTGAAGCAGAAAAGCTATCTAATGAATCCTCAAGGCGCCAGCGTCACATATAACAAACAGGACTAAGCGAAGCAGCCATCAAAATCAGCCTAATTAGCCTAAATTAAGACCTAGAATTGCAATTATCCCTCTTAAAATCCCAAGTCCAGAGAGCAAAAAACCATAAACAAAACAGTAGAAAACCCTCCATCTCCAACATAAGCAATTCTTACTCCAATCGTACAGATCAATATCAGAGACCTAACCTTAGTTCCATTTGCAGTGGCTGTGGAGCAGAGAGCCCAATACCACGATTCTGGCCGTGAAATGCACCATTACCATTCCCAAAAGCTTCTTCCTTCTCCTCCAAAAACCTAGAAAGCCCACTCCCCTCTTTGGCTTCTTCCTCAATCCCTCTACCATTATCTGCAAAGCTCACTCTTTTAGCACTTCTCGCACGCAGCACCGGCGGCGGCGCAGCGTCCTCCACTGTCTCCACTTCTCGAAGAGAAAGCCGCCGTTCCCTCGCCAACACATTGTCGACGAACTCTAGCATTCTCGCAAGATCTCTGCTAATCGATCGTTTCCCATCCCGAATCATCGGATCGGAACTCTGGGACCAATAATAGAAAACCCTAATGAGACCAAAAGGATCAACAATTGAAAATCAGAAAGAAATGAGCCTCCTTTGAACCCTACCTGGATGGAATCGAGCTGGAGTAGTAGATCCATTGCTTCCTGAGAAATGGCCTCCAGCTCCGCATCTGCGTCGCCGGAGATTGACGACCGCAGCGCGGAAGCGCTGGATTTGATGGAAGCCAAGCGCTTGAGATCCCTAAGCGTCTGGGATCGTCGGACTAGGAATCGACGGAACCGCGCTTGGATCGTCCTTGCAGCCACTTCCCGGAGAGACGGAGTAGATGTTCTTCGCCGGAGAGAGGGAGAAGGCGGAGCCGATGGAGTACGAGGAGTTTGATAGGAGAGTTGGGAAAGAGACGATTCGAGGGAGGAAACACGGTGGATGAGATCTTGGAGGAGGGATTGGGAAAGAACTTGCTGGGGTTTTTGAAAAGATTGGGTTTTGAAGATGTTGGTAGCCATGGATTGAAAGAATTGGTCTGTGGAGATTGGAAGAGGAGGAGGAGGAAGAGAGGAAGAAGAGTTGCAGTTGCAGGAGCAACAACAGGAAGAGCAATAGTAAGGGTGGTTGCTTAGGGTTTGGTGGCAAAGATTCTTTTCATGGTGGTGGCTGTAGTGGTGGTGATGGGGAGTCATCTGGTCTTTTGAGAGTGAGGGGCAGAGGTGATCGTCGGAGGAGGAGAAGATTGGGGTTTTGGGAGCGCGCTGTGTTATATAGATAGAAGGTGAGCTGATCAATTTCAAAGATTTTATCTGCATACGAAAAGGGTAAAACGGAGATTTTGTCCAATATGAAGAAGCTGAAAGTAGGTTTTTGGAATGAAATTTTCTATTTTTTAGCATCTTAATATCGGCTTTTTTGTAAATCCAATTCGGACTTATTTGGAACACTTAAGGGGCTGTTTGGCAACAATTTAATAAATTCTGTAAATCCGGATTTAATAAATCCGAAATATGTTAAATCCTAAAAATTATTTTGTATGTTAAATGTTAAATCTTGTTAAATCCTGAGAAACTGTTTGGTAACATATATCATGATTGATGGCAATTAGGAAATTAAGTTTAAAAGAGATATTTATGAAATTAAGATAATTGCATAAAACATAATAAAATCAATTTTAGGTCATATAAAATGACCAAAAATTCAATAAAAAGTTAATTACAAACTAACATGGACCAAAATGAGAGTTGAAATATTAAATAATCTAATTATATTAATATTTAATTACTAATTATATAATTAATTAATCAATTAAGTTAAATTAGATAATTAATTTATGCACTAATTCTACTATTAATTATTTAATTAATTAACTTAATTATTATTTGTTTAAATTATATAAATTAAGTTAATCGATA